CAACCACAGCTTCCCCAGCTACAACCACAGCTGCACCAACAACAACCACAGCTGCACCAACAACAACCACAGCTGCTCCAACAACAACCACAGCTTCTCCAACAACAACCACAGCTGCACCAACAAAAACCACAGCTGCTTCAACAACAACCACAGCTGCACCAACAACAACCACAGCTGCACCAACAACAACCACAACTGCACCAACAACCACAGCTGCTTCAACTACAACCACAGCTCCCCCCGCTACAACCACAGCTGCACCAACAACAACCACAGCTGCACCAACCACAACCACAGCTGCACCAAGAACAACCACAGCTGCTTCAACAACAACCACAGCTGCCCCAGCTACAACCACAGCTGCTCCAACATCAACCACAACTGCACCAACCACCACAGCTGCTTCAACTACAACCACAGCTGCCCCAGCTACAACCACAGCTGCACCAACAACAACCACAGCTGCACCAACAACAACCACAGCTGCTCCAACAACAACCACAGCTGCTCCAACAACAACCACAGCTGCACCAACAAAAACCACAGCTGCACCAACAACAACCACAGCTGCACCAACAACCACAGCTGCTTCAACTACAACCACAGCTGCCCCAGCTACAACCACAGCTGCACCAACAACAACCACAGCTGCAACAACAACAACAACCACAGCTGCTCCAACAACAACCACAGCTGTACCAACAACAACCACAGCTGCACCAACAACAACCACAGCTGTACCAACAACAACAAAGATAGCTGCACCAACAACACCCACAGCTGCACCAACATCAACCACAGCTGCACCAACATCAACCACAGCTGCACCAACAACAACCACAGCTGCACCAACAACAACCACAGCTGCTCCAACAGCAACCACAGCTGCACCAACAACAACAACCACAGCTGCCCCAACAACAACCACAGCTGACCCAAAAACAACCACAGCTGCACCAACAACAACCACAGCTGCCCCAACAACAACCACAGCTGTGCCAACAACCACAGCCGCTCCAACATCAACCACAGCTGCTTCAACTACAACCACAGCTGCACCAACAACAACCACAGCTGCACCAACAACCACAGCTGCTTCAACTACAACCACAGCTGCACCAACAACAACCACAGCTGCACCAACAACCACAGCTGCTTCAACTACAACCAAAGCTGCCCCAGCTACAACCACAGCCGCACCAACAACAACCACAGCTGCCCCAGCTACAACCACAGCTGCTCCAACATCAACCACAACTGCACAAACAACCACAGCTGCTTCAACTACAACCACAGCTGCATCAACAACAACCACAGCTGCACCAACAACAAACACAGCTGCACCAACAACAACCACAGCTGCTCCAACAACAACCATAGCTGCTCCAAAAACAACCACAGCTGCACCAACAACAACCACAGCTGCACCAACAGCAACCACAGCTATACTAACAACAACAACAACCATAGCTGCACCAACAACAACCACAGCTGCACCAACATCAACCACAGCTGCACCAACAACAACCACAGCTGCCCCAACAACAACCACGGCTGCACCAACAACAACCACAGCTGCTCCAACAACAACCACAGCTGCACCAACAGCAACCACAGCTGCCCCAGCTACAACCACAGCTGCACCAACAACAACCACAACTGCACCAACAAACACAGCTGCTTCAACCACAACCACAGCTGCCCCAGCTACAACCACAGCTGCACCAACATCAACCACAGCTGCACCAACAACAACCACAGCTGCACCAACAACAACCACAGCTGCTCCAACAACAACCACAGCTGCACCAACAACAACCACAGCTGCACCAACAACAACTACAGCTGCCCCAACAACAACCATAGCTGCGCCAGCAACCACAGCCGCTCCAGCATCAACCACAGCTGCTTCAACAACAACCACAGCTGCACCAACAACAACCACAGCTGCACCAACAACCACAGCTGCTTCGACTACAACCACAGCTGCCCCAGCTACAACCACAGCTGCACCAAGAACAACCACAGCTGCCCCAGCTACAACCACAGCTGCTCCAACATCAACCACAACTGCACCAACAACCACAGCTGCTTCAACTACAACCACAGCTGCACCAACAACAACCACAGCTGCACCAACAACAACCACAGCTGCACCAACAACAACCACAGCTGCACCAACAACAACCACATCTGCTCCAACAACAACCACAGCTGCTCCAACAACAACCACAGCTGCACCAACAAAAACCACAGCTGCTTCAACAACAACCACAGCTGCACCAACAACAACCACAGCTGCACCAACAACAACCACAACTGCACCAACAAACACAGCTGCTTCAACCACAACCACAGCTGCCCCAGCTACAACCACAGCTGCACCAACATCAACCACAGCTGCACCAACAACAACCACAGCTGCACCAACAACAACCACAGCTGCTCCAACAACAACCACAGCTGCACCAACAACAACCACAGCTGCACCAACAACAACTACAGCTGCCCCAACAACAACCATAGCTGCGCCAGCAACCACAGCCGCTCCAGCATCAACCACAGCTGCTTCAACAACAACCACAGCTTCACCAACAACAACCACAGCTGCACCAACAACCACAGCTGCTTCGACTACAACCGCAGCTGCCCCAGCTACAACCACAGCTGCACCAACAACAACCACAGCTGCCCCAGCTACAACCACAGCTGCTCCAACATCAACCACAACTGCACCAACAACCACAGCTGCTTCAACTACAACCACAGCTGCACCAACAACAACCACAGCTGCACCAACAACAACCACAGCTGCACCAACAACAACCACAGCTGCTCCAACAACAACCACAGCTGCTCCAACAACAACCACAGCTATACCAACAACAACAACCATAGCTGCACCAACATCAACCACAGCTGCACCAACATCAACCACAGCTGCACCAACAACAACCACAGCTGCCCCAACAACAACCACGGCTGCACCAACAACAACCACAGCTGCTCCAACAACAACCACAGCTGCACCAACAACAACCACAGCTGCCCCAGCTACAACCACAGCTGCTCCAACATCAACCACAACTGCACCAACAACCACAGCTGCTTCAACTACAACCACATCTGCCCCAGCTACAACCACAGCTGCACCAACAACAACCACAGCTGCACCAACAACAACCACAGCTGCTCCAACAACAACCACAGCTGCTCCAACACCAACCACAGCTGCACCAACAAAAACCACAGCTGCTTCAACAACAACCACAGCTGCACCAACAACAGCCACAGCTGCACCAACAGCAGCCACAACTGCACCAACAACCACAGCTGCTTCAACTACAACCACAGCTGCCCCAGCTACAACCACAGCTGCACCAACAACAACCACAGCTGCACCAACCACAACCACAGCTGCACCAACCACAACCACAGCTGCACCAACAACAACCACAGCTGCTCCAACAACAACCACAGCTGTACCAACAACAACCACAGCTGCACCAACAAAAACCACAGCTGTACCAACAACAACAAAGATAGCTGCACCAACAACAACCACAGCTGCACCAACATCAACCACAGCTGCACCAACAACAACCACAGCTGCACCAACAACAACCACAGCTGCACCAACAACAACCACAGCTGCCCCAACAACAACCACAGCTGCGCCAACAACCACAGCCGCTCCAACATCAACCACAGCTGCTTCAACAACAACCACAGCTGCACCAACAACAACCATAGCTGAACCAACAACAAAAGCTGCTTCAACTACAACCACAGCTGCCCCAGCTACAACCACAGCCGCACCAACAACAACCACAGCTGCCCCAGCTACAACCACAGCTGCTCCAACATCAACCACAACTGCACCAACAACCATAGCTGCACCAACATCAACCACAGCTGCACCAACATCAACCAGAGCTGCACCAACAACAACCACAGCTGCCCCAACAACAACCACGGCTGCACCAACAACAACCACAGCTGCTCCAACAACAACCACAGCTGCACCAACAACAACCACAGCTGCCCCAGCTACAACCACAGCTGCTCCAACATCAACCACAACTGCACCAACAACCACAGCTGCTTCAACTACAACCACAGCTGCCCCAGCTACAACCACAGCTGCACCAACAACAACCACAGCTGCACCAACAACAACCACAGCTGCTCCAACAACAACCACAGCTGCTCCAACAACAACCACAGCTGCACCAACAAAAACCACAGCTGCTTCAACAACAACCACAGCCTCACCAACAACAGCCACAGCTGCACCAACAGCAACCACAACTGCACCAACAACCACAGCTGCTCCAACATCAACCACAACTGCAGCAACAACCACAGCTGCTTCAACTACAACCACAACTGCCCCAGCTACAACCACAGCTGCACCAACAACAACCACAGCTGCCCCAGCTACAACCACAGCTGCACCAACAACAACCACAGCTGCACCAACAACAACCACAGCTGCACCAACAACAACCACAGCTGCACCAACAAAAACCACAGCTGCACCAACAACAACCACAGCTGCACCAACAACAACCACAGCTGCTCCAACAACAACCACAGCTGCACCAACAACAACCACAGCTGCACCAACAACAACCACAGCTATACCAACAACAACAACAACCATAGCTGCACCAACATCAACCACAGCTGCACCAACAACAACCACAGCTGCCCCAACAACAACCACGGCTGCACCAACAACAACCACAGCTGCTCCAACAACAACCACAGCTGCACCAACAACAACCACAGCTGCCCCAGCTACAACCACAGCTGCTCCAACATCAACCACAACTGCACCAACAACCACAGCTGCTTCAACTACAACCACAGCTGCCCCAGCTACAACCACAGCTGCACCAACAACAACCACAGCTGCACCAACAACAACCACAGCTGCTCCAACAACAACCACAGCTGCTCCAACAACAACCACAGCTGCACCAACAAAAACCACAGCTGCTTCAACAACAACCACAGCTGCGCCAACAACAACCACAACTGCACCAACAACCACAGCTGCTTCAACTACAACCACAGCTGCCCCAGCTACAACGACAGCTGCACCAACAAAAACCACAGCTGCACCAACCACAACCACAGCTGCACCAACCACAACCACAGCTGCACCAACAACAACCACAGCTGCTCCAAAAACAACCACAGCTGTACCAACAACAACCAAAGCTGCCCCAACAACAACCACAGCTGTGCCAACAACCACAGCCGCTCCAACATCAACCACAGCTGCTTCAACAACAACCACAGCTGCACCAACAACAACCACAGCTGTACCAACAACAACAAAGATAGCTGCACCAACAACAACCACAGCTGCACCAACATCAACCACAGCTGCACCAACAACAACCACAGCTGCACCAACAACAACCACAGCTGCACCAACAACAACCACAGCTGCACCAACAACAACCACAGCTGCACCAACAACAACCACAGCTGCCCCAACAACAACCACAGCTGCGCCAACAACCACAGCCGCTCCAACATCAACCACAGCTGCTTCAACAACAACCACAGCTGCACCAACAACAACCACAGCTGCTTCAACTACAACCACAGCTGCCCCAGCTACAACCACAGCCGCACCAACAACAACCACAGCTCCCACACTAACAACCACAGCTGCTCCAACATCAACCACAACTGCACCAACAACCACAGCTGCTTCAACTACAACCACAGCTGCCCCAGCTACAACCACAGCTGTACCAACAACAACCACGGCTGCACCAACAACAACCACAGCTGCTCCAACAACAACCACAGCTGCACCAACAACAACCACAGCTGCACCAACAACAACCACAGCTGCTTCAACAACAACCACACTTGCACCAACAACAACCACAGCTGCAACAACAACAACCACAGCTGCACCAACAACAACCACAGCTGCTCCAACAACAACCACAGCTGCACCAACAACAACCACAGCTGCACCAACAACAACTACAGCTATACCAACAACAACAACAACAACACCAGCTGCACAAACAACAACCACAGCTGCACCAACATCAACCACAGCTGCATCAACAACAACCACAGCTGCACCAACAACAACCACAGCTGCTCCAACAACAACCACAGCTGCACCAACAACAACCAAAATTGCACCAACAACAACCACAGCTGCCCCAACAACAACCACAGCTGCACCAACTACAACCACAGCTGCACCAACAACAACCACAGCTGCCCCAACAACAACCACAGCTGCTCCAACAACAACCACAGCTGCTTCAACAACAACCACAGCTGCCCCAGCTACAACCACAGCTGTACCAACAACAACAACCATAGCTGAACCAACAACAACCACAGCTGCACCAACATCAACAACAGCTGCACCAACAACAACCACAGCTGCACCAACAACAACCACAGCTGCTCCAACAACAACCACAGCTGCCCCAACAAAAACCATAGCTGCACCAACAACAACCACAGCTGCCCCAACTACAACCACAGCTGCCCCAGCTACAACCACAGCTGCTCCAACATCAACCACAACTGCACCAACAACCACAGCTGCTTCAACTAAAACCACAGCTGCTCCAACATCAACCACAACTGCACCAACAACCACAGCTGCTTCAACTACAACCACAACTGCCCCAGCTACAACCACAGCTGCACCAACAACAACCACAGCTGCACCAACAACAACCACAGCTGCTCCAACAACAACCACAGCTGCACCAACAACAACCACAGCTGCACCAACAACAACCACAGCTGCTTCAACAACAACCACAGCGGCACCAACAACAACCACAACTGCACCAACAACCACAGCTGCTTCAACTACAACCACAGCTGCCCCAGCTACAACCACAGCTGCACCAACAACAACCACAGCTGCACCAACAACAACCACAGCTGCTCCAACAACAACCACAGCTGCTCCAACAACAACCACAGCTGCACCAACAACAACCAAAGCTGCACCAACAACAACCACAGCTGTACCAACAACAACAACCATAGCTGCACCATTAACAACCACAGCTGCACCAACATCAACCACAGCTGCACCAACAACAACCACAGCTGCACCAACAACAACCACAGCTGCTCCAACAACAACCACAGCTGCACCAACAACAACCACAGCTGCACCAACAACAGCCACAGCTACCCCAACAACAACCACAGCTGCACCAACAACAACCACAGCTGCACCAACAACAACAAAAGCTGCACCAACAACAACCACAGCTGCACCAACAACAACCACAGCTGCGCCAACAACCACAGCCGCTCCAACATCAACCACAGCTGCTTCAACAACAACCACAGCTGCACCAACAACAACCACAGCTGCACCAACAACCACAGCTGCTTCAACTACAACCACAGCTGCCCCAGGTACAACCACAGCCGCACCAACAACAACCACAGCTGCCCCAGCTACAACCACAGATGCTCCAACATCAACCACAACTGCACCAAAAACCACAGCTGCTTCAACTACAACCACAGCTGCCCCAGGTACAACCACAGCTGCACCAACAACAACCACAGCTGCACCAAAAACAACCACAGCTGCTCCAACAACAACCACAGCTGCTCCAACAACAACCACAGCAGCCCCCAAAACAACCACAGCTCATCCTACTACAACTACAGCTCCACCACCAACAACCAAAGCTGATCCTACTACAACTGCAGCTGCCCCAACAACAACCACAGCTGCCCTAACAACAACCACAGCTGCTTCAACAACAACCACAGCTGCCCCAGCTACAACCACAGCTGTACCAACAACAACAACCATAGCTGCACCAACAACAACCACAGCTACACCAACATCAACAACAGCTGCACCAACAACAACCACAGCTGCACCAACAACAACCACAGCTGCTCCAACAACAACCACAGCTGCCCCAACAAAAACCATAGCTGCACCAACAACAACCACAGCTGCCCCAACTACAACCACAGCTGCCCCAGCTACAACAACAGCTGCTCCAACATCAACCACAACTGCACCAACAACCACAGCTGCTTCAACTACAACCACAACTGCCCCAGCTACAACCACAGCTGCACCAACAACAACCACAGCTGCACCAACAACAACCACAGCTGCTCCAACAACAACCACAGCTGCACCAACAACAACCACAGCTGCACCAACAACAACCACAGCTGCTTCAACAACAACCACAGCTGCCCCAGCTACAACCACAGCTGCACCAACAACAACCGCAGCTGCACCAACAACAACCACAGCTGCTCCACCAACAACCACAGCTGCTCCACCAACAACCACAGCTGCTCCAACAACAACCACAGCTGCACCAACAACAACCACAGCTGCACCAACAACAACCACAGCTGTACCAACAACAACAACCATAGCTGCACCAACAACAACCACAGCTGCACCAACATCAACCACAGCTACACCAACAACAACCACAGCTGCACCAACAACAACCACAGCTGCTCCAACAACAACCACAGCTGCACCAACAACAACCACAGCTGCACCAACAACAGCCACAGCTACCCCAACAACAACCACAGCTGCACCAACAACAACCACAGCTGTACCAACAACAACAACCATAGCTGCACCATTAACAACCACAGCTGCACCAACATCAACCACAGCTGCACCAACAACAACCACAGCTGCACCAACAACAACCACAACTGCTCCAACAACAACCATAGCTGCACCAACAACAGCCACAGCTGCACCAACAACAGCCACAGCTACCCCAACAACAACCACAGCTGCACCAACAACAACCACAGCTGCACCAACAACAACCAAAGCTGCACCAACAACAACCACAGCTGCACCAACAACAACCACAGCTGCGCCAACAACCACAGCCGCTCCAACATCAACCACAGCTGCTTCAACAACAACCACAGCTGCACCAACAACAACCACAGCTGCACCAACAACCACAGCTGCTTCAACTACAACCACAGCTGCCCCAGGTACAAAGACAGCCGCACCAACAACAACCACAGCTGCCCCAGCTACAACCACAGCAGCTCCAACATCAACCACAACTGCACCAAAAACCACAGCTGCTTCAACTACAACCACAGCTGCCCCAGGTACAACCACAGCTGCACCGACAACAACCACAGCTGCACCAAAAACAACCACAGCTGCTCCAACAACAACCACAGCTGCTCCAACAACAACCACAGCAGCCCCCAAAACAACCACAGCTCATCCTACTACAACTACAGCTGCACCACCAACAACCAAAGCTGATCCTACTACAACTGCAGCTGCCCCAACAACAACCACAGCTGCCCTAACAACAACCACAGCTTTTTCAACAACAACCACAGCTGCCCCAGCTTCAACCACAGCTGTACCAACAACAACAACCATAGCTGCACCAACAACAATCACAGCTGCACCAACATCAACAACAGCTGCACCAACAACAACCACAGCTGCACCAACAACAACCACAGCTGCTCCAACAACAACCACAGCTGCCCCAACAAAAACCATAGCTGCACCAACAACAACCACAGCTGCCCCAACTACAACCACAGCTGACCCAGCTACAACCACAGCTGCTCCAACATCAACCACAACTGCACCAACAACCACAGCTGCTTCAACTAAAACCACAGCTGCTCCAACATCAACCACAACTGCACCAACAACCACAGCTGCTTCAACTACAACCACAACTGCCCCAGCTACAACCACAGCTGCACCAACAACAACCACAGCTGCACCAACAACAACCACAGCTGCTCCAACAACAACCACAGTTGCACCAACAACAACCACAGCTGCACCAACAACAACCACAGCTGCTTCAACTACAACCACAGCTGCCCCAGCTACAACCACAGCTGCACCAACAACAACCGCAGCTGCACCAACAACAACCACAGCTGCTCCACCAACAACCACAGCTGCTCCAACAACAACCACAGCTGCACCAACAACAACCACAGCTGCACCAACAACAACCACAGCTGTACCAACAACAACAACCATAGCTGCACCAACAACAACCACAGCTGCACCAACATCAACCACAGCTGCACCAACAACAACCACAGCTGCACCAACAACAACCACAGCTGCTCCAACAACAACCACAGCTGCACCAACAACAGCCACAGCTACCCCAACAACAACCACAGCTGCACCAACAACAACCAAAGCTGCACCAACAACAACCACAGCTGCACCAACAACAACCACAGCTGCGCCAACAACCACAGCTGCTCCAACATCAACCACAGCTGCTTCAACAACAACCACAGCTGCACCAACAACAACCACAGCTGCACCAACAACCACAGCTGCTTCAACTACAACCACAGCTGCCCCAGGTACAACCACAGCTGCACCAACAACAACCACAGCTGCCCCAGCTACAACCACAGCTGCTCCAACATCAACCACAACTGCACCAAAAACCACAGCTGCTTCAACTACAACCACAGCTGCCCCAGGTACAACCACAGCTGCACCAACAACAACCACAGCTGCACCAAAAACAACCACAGCTGCTCCAACAACAACCACAGCAGCCCCCCAAACAACCACAGCTCATCCTACTACAACTACAGCTGCACCACCAACAACCAAAGCTGATCCTACTACAACTACAGCTGCCCCAACAACCACAGCTGCCCTAACAACAACCATAGCTGCTGCTACTACAACAACAGCTGCCCCAACAACAACCACTGCTAGCACAACAACAAAAACCACAGCTGCCCCAGCTACAACCACAGCTGCTCCAACATCAACCACAACTGCACCAGCAACCACAGCTGCTTCAACTACAACCACAGCTGCACAAACAACAACCACAACTGCACCAACAACAACCACAGCTACTCAAAAAAACACCACAGCTGCACCAACAACAACCACAGCTGCCCCAGCTACAACCACAGCTGCTCCAACATCAACCACAACTGCACCAACAACCACAGCTGCTTCAAATACAACCACAGCTACACCAACAACAACCACAGCTGCACCAACAACAACCACAGCTGCACCCACAACAACCACAGCTGCTTCAAAAACAACCACAGCTGCACCAACAACAACCACAGCTGCACCAACAACAACCACAGCTGCCCCAGCTACAACCACAGCTGCTCCAACATCAACCACAACTGCACCAACAACCACAGCTGCTTCAACTACAACCACAGCTGCCCCAGCTACAACCACAGCTGCATCAACAACAACCACAGCTGCACCAACAACAACCACAGCTGCTCGAACAACCACCACAGCTGCACCAACAACAACCACAGCTGTGCCAACAACAACCACAGCTGTACCAACAACAACAACAACCATAGCTGCACCAACAACAACCACAGCTGCACCAACATCAACCACAGCTGCACCAACAACAACCACAGCTGCACCAACAACAACCACAGCTTCTCCAACAACAACCACAGCTGCACCAACAACAACCACAGCTGCACCAACAACCACAGCTGCCCCAACTACAACCACAGCTGCCCCAACATCAACCACAACTGCACCAACAACCACAGCTGCTTCAACTACAACCACAACTGCCCCAGCTACAACCACAGCTGCACCAACAACAACCACAGCTGCACCAACAACAACCACAGCTGCTCCAACAACAACCACAGCTGCTCCAACAACAACCACAGCTGCACCAACAACAACCACAGCTGCTTCAACAACAACAACAGCTGAACCAACAACAACCACAACTGCACCAACAACCACAGCTGCTTCAACTACAACCACAGCTGCCCCAGCTACAACCACAGCTGCACCAACAACAACCACAGCTGCACCAACAACAACCACAGCTGGACCAACAACCACAGCTGCTCCAACAACAACCACAGCTGCTCCAACAACAACCACAGCTGCACCAACATCAACCACAGCTGCACCAACAACAATGACAGCTGCACCAACAACAACCACAGCTGCTCCAACAACAACCACAGCTGCACCAACAACAACCACAGCTGCACCAACAACAGCCACAGCTGCCCCAACAACAACCACAGCTGCACCAACAACAACGACAGCTGCACCAACAACAACCACAGCTGCACCAACAACAACCACAGCTGCCCCAACAACAACCACAGCTGCACCAACAACAACCACAGCTGCTCCAACAACAACCACAGCTGCTCCAACAACAACCACAGCTGCACCAACAACAACCACAGCTATACCAACAACAACAACAACCATAGCTGCACCAACATCAACCACGGCTGCACCAACAACAACCACAGCTGCCCCAACAACAACCACAGCTGCACCAACAACAACCACAGCTGCTCCAACAACAACCACAGCTGCACCAACAACAACCACAGCTGCCCCAGCTACAACCACAGCTGCTCCAACATCAACCACAACTGCACCAACAACCACAGCTGCTTCAACTACAACCACAGCTGCCCCAACAACAACCACAGCTGCACCAACAACAACCACAGCTGCTCCAACAACAACCACAGCTGCTCCAACAACAACCACAGCTGCACCAACAAAAACCACAGCTGCTTCAACAACAACCACAGCTGCGCCAACAACAACCACAACTGCACCAACAACCACAGCTGCTTCAACTACAACCACAGCTGCCCCAGCTACAACGACAGCTGCACCAACAAAAACCACAGCTGCACTAACCACAACCACAGCTGCACTACCCACAACCACAGCTGCACCAACAACAACCACAGCTGCTCCAAAAACAACCACAGCTGTACCAACAACAACCACAGCTGCCCCAACAACAACCACAGCTGCGCCAACAACCACAGCCGCTCCAACATCAACCACAGCTGCTTCAACAACAACCACAGCTGCACCAACAACAACCACAGCTGTACCAACAACAACAAAGATAGCCGCACCAACAACAACCACAACTGCACCAACATCAACCACAGCTGCATCAACAACAACCACAGCTGCACCAACAACAACCACAGCTGCACCAACAACAACCACAGCTGCACCAACAACAACCACAGCTGCCCCAGCTACAACCACAGCTGCGCCAACAACCACAGCCGCTCCAACATCAACCACAGCTGCTTCAACAACAACCACAGCTGCACCAACAACCACAGCTGCTTCAACTACAACCACAGCTGCCCCAGCTACAACCACAGCCGCACCAACAACAACCACAGCTCCCACACTAACAACCACAGCTGCTCCAACATCAACCACAACTGCACCAACAACCACAGCTGCTTCAACTACAACCACAGCTGCCCCAGCTACAACCACAGCTGTACCAACAACAACCACAGCTGCACCAACAACAACCACAGCTGCTCCAACAACAACCACAGCTGCTCCAACAACAACCACAGCGGCACCAACAACAACCACAGCTGCTTCAACAACAACCACAGCTGCACCAACAACAACCACAGCTGCACCAACAACAACCACAGCTGCACCAACAACAACCACAGCTGCTCCAACAACAACCACAGCTGCACCAACAACAACCACAGCTGCACCAACAACAACTACAGCTATACCACCAACAACAACAACAACAACCACAGCTGCACCAACAACAACCACAGCTGCACCAACATCAACCACAGCTGCATCAACAACAACCACAGCTGCACCAACAACAACCACAGCTGCACCAACTACAACCACAGCTGCACCAACAACAACCAAAGCTGCACCAACAACAACCAAAATTGCACCAACAACAACCACAGCTGCCCCAACAACAACCACAGCTGCACCAACTACAACCACAGCTGCACCAACAACAACCACAGCTTCCCCAACAACAACCACAGCTGCTCCAACAACAACCACAGCTGCTTCAACAACAACCACAGCTGCCCCAGCTACAACCACAGCTGTACCAACAACAACAACCATAGCTGCACCAACAACAACCACAGCTGCACCAACATCAACAACAGCTGCACCAACAACAACCACAGCTGCACCAACAACAACCACAGCTGCTCCAACAACAACCACAGCTGCCCCAACAAAAACCATAGCTGCACCAACAACAACCACAGCTGCCCCAACTACAACCACAGCTGCCCCAGCTACAACCACAGCTGCTCCAACATCAACCACAACTGCACCAACAACCACAGCTGCTTCAACTAAAACCACAGCTGCTCCAACATCAACCACAACTGCACCAACAACCACAGCTGCTTCAACTACAACCACAACTGCCCCAGCTACAACCACAGCTGCACCAACAACAACCACAGCTGCACCAACAACAACCACAGCTGCTCCAACAACAACCACAGCTGCACCAACAACAACCACAGCTGCTTCAACAACAACCACAGCGGCACCAACAACAACCACAACTGCACCAACAACCACAGCTGCTTCAACTACAACCACAGCTGCCCCAGCTACAACCACAGCTGCACCAACAACAACCACAGCTGCACCAACAACAACCACAGCTGCTCCAACAACAACCACAGCTGCTCCAACAACAACCACAGCTGCACCAACAACAACCACAGCTGCACCAACAACAACCACAGCTGTACCAACAACAACAACCATAGCTGCACCATTAACAACCACAGCTGCACCAACATCAACCACAGCTGCACCAACAACAACCACAGCTGCACCAACAACAACCACAGCTGCTCCAACAACAACCACAGCTGCACCAACAACAACCACAGCTGCACCAACAACAGCCACAGCTACCCCAACAACAACCACAGCTGCACCAACAACAACCACAGCTGCACCAACAACAACCAAAGCTGCACCAACAACAACCACAGCTGCACCAACAACAACCACAGCTGCGCCAACAACCACAGCCGCTCCCACATCAACCACAGCTGCTTCAACAACAACCACAGCTGCACCAACAACAACCACAGCTGCACCAACAACCACAGCTGCTTCAACTACAACCACAGCTGCCCCAGGTACAACCACAGCCGCACCAACAACAACCACAGCTGCCCCAGCTACAACCACAGCTGCTCCAACATCAACCACAACTGCACCAAAAACCACAGCTGCTTCAACTACAACCACAGCTGCCCCAGGTACAACCACAGCTGCACCAACAACAACCACAGCTGCACCAAAAACAACCACAGCTGCTCCAACAACAACCACAGCTGCTCCAACAACAACCACAGCAGCCCCCAAAACAACCACAGCTGATCCTACTACAACTACAGCTGCACCACCAACAACCAAAGCTGATCCTACTACAACTACAGCTGCCCCAACAACAACCACAGCTGCCCTAACAACAACCACAGTTGCTTCAACAACAACCACAGCTGCTTCAACAACAACCACAGCTGCCCCAGCTACAACCACAGCTGTACCAACAACAATAACCATAGCTGCACCAACAACAACCACAGCTGCACCAACATCAACAACAGCTGCACCAACAACAACGACAGCTGCACCAACAACAACCACAGCTGCTCCAACAACAACCACAGCTGCCCCAACAAAAACCATAGCTGCACCAACAACAACCACAGCTGCACCAACAACAACCACAGCTGCACCAACAACCACAGCTGCTTCAACTACAACCACAGCTGCCCCAGGTACAACCACAGCCGCACCAACAACAACCACAGCTGCCCCAGCTACAACCACAGCTGCTCCAACATCAACCACAACTGCACCAAAAACCACAGCTGCTTCAACTACAACCACAGCTGCCCCAGGTACAACCACAGCTGCACCAACAACAACCACAGCTGCACCAAAAACAACCACAGCTGCTCCAACAACAACCACAGCTGCTCCAACAACAACCACAGCAGCCCCCAAAACAACCACAGCTAATCCTACTACAACTACAGCTGCACCACCAACAACCAAAGCTGATCCTACTACAACTACAGCTGCCCCAACAACAACCACAGCTGCCCTAACAACAACCACAGTTGCTTCAACAACAACCACAGCTGCTTCAACAACAACCACAGCTGCCCCAGCTACAACCACAGCTGTACCAACAACAACAACCATAGCTGCACCAACAACAACCACAGCTGCACCAACATCAACAACAGCTGCACCAACAACAACGACAGCTGCACCAACAACAACCACAGCTGCTCCAACAACAACCACAGCTGCCCCAACAAAAACCATAGCTGCACCAACAACAACCACAGCTGCACCAACAACAACCACAGCTGCTTCAACAACAACCACAGCGGCACCAATAACAACCACAACTGCACCAACAACCACAGCTGCTTCAACTACAACCACAGCTGCCCCAGCTACAACCACAGCTGCACCAACAACAACCACAGCTGCACCAACAACAACCACAGCTGCTCCACCAACAACCACAGCTGCTCCAACAACAACCACAGCTGCACCAACAACAACCACAGCTGTACCAACAACAACAACCATAGCTGCACCAACAACAACCACAGCTGCACCAACATCAACCACAGCTGCACCAACAACAACCACAGCTGCACCAACAACAACCACAGCTGCTCCAACAACAACCACAGCTGCACCAACAACAACCACAGCTGCACCAACAACAGCCACAGCTACCCAAACAACAACCACAGCTGCACCAACAACAACCACAGCTGCACCAACAACAACCAAAGCTGCACCAACAACAACCACAGCTGCACCAACAACAACCACAGCTGCGCCAACAACCACAGCCGCTGCAACATCAACCACAGCTGCTTCAACAACAACCACAGCTGCACCAACAACAACCACAGCTGCACCAACAACCACAGCTGCTTCAACTACAACCACAGCTGCCCCAGGTACAACCACAGCCGCACCAACAACAACCACAGCTGCCCCAGCTACAACCACAGCTGCTCCAACATCAACCACAACTGCACCAAAAACCACAGCTGCGTCAACTACAACCACAGCTGCCCCAGGTACAACCACAGCTGCACCAACAACAACCACAGCTGCACCAAAAACAACCACAGCTGCTCCAACAACAACCACAGCAGCCCTCAAAACAACCACAGCTCATCCTACTACAACTAAAGATGCACCACCAACAACCAAAGCTGATCCTACTACAACTACAGCTGCCCCAACAACAACAACCACAGCTGCCCTAACAACAACCACAGCTGCTGCTACTACAACAACAGCTGCCCCAACAACAACCACTGCTAGCACAACAACATCAACCACAACTGCACCAGCAACCACAGCTGCTTCAACTACAACCACAGCTGCACAAACAACAACCACAACTGCACCAACAACAACCACAGCTGCTCAAAAAAACACCACAGCTGCTCCAACAACAACCACAGCTGCTCCAACAACAACCACAGCTGCCCCAGCTACAACCACGGCTGCTCCAACATCAACCACAACTGCACCAACAACCACAGCTGCTTCAACTACAACCACAGCTACACCAACAACAACCACAGCTGCACCAACAACAACCACAGCTGCACCCACAACAACCACAGCTGCTTCAAAAACAACCACAGCTGCACCAACAACAACCACAGCTGCACCAACAACAACCACAGCTGCCCCAGCTACAACCACAGCTGCTCCAACATCAACCACAACTGCACCAACAACCACAGCTGCTTCAACTACAACCACAGCTGCCCCAGCTACAACCACAGCTGCACCAACAACAACCACAGCTGCACCAACAACAACCACAGCTGCTCGAACAACAACCACAGCTGCACCAACAACAACCACAGCTGCGCCAACAACAACCACAGCTGTACCAACAACAACAACCATAGCTGCACCAACAACAACCACAGCTGCACCAACATCAACCACAGCTGCACCAACAACAACCACAGCTGCACCAACAACAACCACAGCTTCTCCAACAACAACCACAGCTGCACCAACAACAACCACAGCTGCACCAACAACCACAGCTGCCCCAACTACAACCACAGCTGCCCCAACATCAACCACAACTGCACCAACAACCACAGCTGCTTCAACTACAACCACAACTGCCCCAGCTACAACCACAGCTGTACCAACAACAACCACAGCTGCACCAACAACAACCACAGCTGCTCCAACAACAACCACAGCTGCTCCAACAACAACCACAGCTGCACCAACAACAACCACAGCTGCTTCAACAACAACAACAGCTGCACCAACAACAACCACAACTGCACCAACAACCACAGCTGCTTCAACTACAACCACAGCTGCCCCAGCTACAACCACAGCTGCAACAACAACAACCACAGCTGCACCAACAACAACCACAGCTGGACCAACAACCACAGCTGCTCCAACAACAACCACAGCTGCTCCAACAACAACCACAGCTGCACCAACATCAACCACAGCTGCACCAACAACAATGACAGCTGCACCAACAACAACCACAGCTGCTCTAACAACAAACACAGCTGCACCAACAACAACCACAGCTGCACCAACAACAGCCACAGCTGCCCCAACAACAACCACAGCTGCACCAACAACAACCACAGCTGCACCAACAACAACCACAGCTGCGCCAACAACCAGAGCCGCTCCAACATCAACCACAGCTGCTTCAACTACAACCACAGCTGCCCCAGGTACAACCACAGCCGCACCAACAACAACCACAGCTGCCCCAGCTACAACCACAGCTGCTCCAACAACAACCACAGCTGCCCCAGCTACAACCACAGCTGCTTCAACTACAACCACAGCTGCCCCAGCTACAACCACAGCTGCACCAACAACAACCACAGCTGCACCAACAACAACCACAGCTGCTCCAACAACAACCACAGCTGCTCCAACAACCACAGCTGCACCATTAACAACCACAGCTGCACCAACAACAACCACAGCTGCACCAACAACAACCACAACTGCACCAACAACCACAGCTGCTTCAACTACAACCACAGCTGCCCCAGCTACAACCACAGCTGCACCAACAACAACCACAGCTGCACCAACAACAACCACAGCTGGACCAACAACCACAGCTGCTCCAACAACAACCACAGCTGCTCCAACAACAACCACAGCTGCACCAACAACAATGACAGCTGCACCAACAACAACCACAGCTGCTCTAACAACAAACACAGCTGCACCAACAACAACCACAGCTGCACCAACAACAACCACAGCTGCACCAACAACAGCCACAGCTGCCCCAACAACAACCACAGCTGCACCAACAACAACCACAGCTGCACCAACAACAACCACAGCTGCCCCAACAATAACCACAGCTGCGCCAACAACCAGAGCCGCTCCAACATCAACCACAGCTGCTTCAACTACAACCACAGCTGCCCCAGGTACAACCACAGCCGCACCAACAACAACCACAGCTGCCCCAGCTACAACCACAGCTGCTCCAACAACAACCACAGCTGCTTCAACTACAACCACAGCTGCCCCAGCTACAACCACAGCTGCACCAACAACAACCACAGCTGCACCAACAACAACCACAGCTGCTCCAACAACAACCACAGCTGCTCCAACAACCACAGCTGCACCATTAACAACCACAGCTGCACCAACAACAGCCACAGCTGCCCCAACAACAACCACAGCTGCACCAACAACAACCACAGCTGCACCAACAACAACCACAGCTGCCACAACAATAACCACAGCTGCGCCAACAACCAGAGCCGCTCCAACATCTACCACAGCTGCTTCAACTACAACCACAGCTGCCCCAGGTACAACCACAGCCGCACCAACAACAACCACAGCTGCCCCAGCTACAACCACAGCTGCTCCAACAACAACCACAGCTGCCCCAGCTACAACCACAGCTGCTTCAACTACAACCACAGCTGCCCCAGCTACAACCACAGCTGCACCAACAACAACCACAGCTGCACCAACAACAACCACAGCTGCTCCAACAACAACCACAGCTGCTCCAACAACCACAGCTGCACCATTAACAACCACAGCTGCACCAACAACAACCACAGCTGTACCAACAACAACAATCATAGCTGCACCAACAACAACCACAGCTGCACCAACATCAACCACAGCTGCACCAACAACAACCACAGCTGCACCAACAACAACCACAGCTGCACCAACAACAACCACAGCTGCACCAACAACAACCACAGCTGCACCAACAACAGCCACAGCTGCCCCAACAACAACCACAGCTGCACCAACAACAACCAAAGCTGCACCAACAACAACCACAGCTGCACCAACAACAACCACAGCTGCGCCAACAACCACAGCCGCTCCAACATCAACCATAGCTGCTTCAACAACAACCACAGCTGCACCAACAACAACCACAGCTGCACCAACAACCACAGCTGCTTCAACTACAACCACAGCTGCCCCAGGTACAACCACAGCCGCACCAACAACAACCACAGCTGCCCCAGCTACAACCACAGCTGCTCCAACATCAACCACAACTGCACCAAAAACCACAGCTGCTTCAACTACAACAACAGCTGCCCCAGGTACAACCACAGCTGCACCAACAACAACCACAGCTGCACAAAAAACAACCACAGCTGCTCCAACAACAACCACAGCATCCCCCAAAACAACCACAGCTCATCCTACTACAACTACAGCTGCACCACCAACAACCAAAGCTGACCCTACTACAACTACAGCTGCCCCAACAACAACCACAGCTGCCCTAACAACAACCACAGCTGCTGCTACTACAACAACAGCTGCCCCAACAACAACCACTGCTAGCACAACAACCACAGCTGCCCCAGCTATAACCACAGCTGCTCCAACATCAACCACAACTGCACCAGCAACCACAGCTGCTTCAACTACAACCACAGCTGCCCCAGCTACAACCACAGCTGCACAAACAACAACCACAACTGCACCAACAACAACCACAGCTGCTCAAAAAAACACCACAGCTGCTCCAACAACAACCACAGCTGCTCCAACAACAACCACAGCTGCCCCAGCTACAACCACAGCTGCTCCAACATCAACCACAACTGCACCAACAACCACAGCTGCTTCAACTACAACCACAGCTAAACCAACAACAACCACAGCTTCACCAACAACAACCACAGCTGCACCCACAACAACCACAGCTGCTTCAAAAACAACCACAGCTGCACCAACAACAACCACAGCTGCACCAACAACAACCACAGCTGCCCCAGCTACAACCACAGCTGCTCCAACATCAACCACAACTGCACCAACAACCACAGCTGCTTCAACTACAACCACAGCTGCCCCAGCTACAACCACAGCTGCACCAACAACAACCACAGCTGCACCAACAACAACCACAGCTGCTCGAACAACAACCACAGCTGCACCAACAACAACCACAGCTGCGCCAACAACAACCACAGCTGTACCAACAACAACAACCATAGCTGCACCAACAACAACCACAGCTGCACCAACATCAACCACAGCTGCACCAACAACAACCACAGCTGCACCAACAACAACCACAGCTGCTCCAACAACAACCACAGCTGCACCAACAACAACCACAGCTGCACCAACAACCACAGCTGCCCCAACAACAACCACAGCTGCACCAACAACAACCACAGCTGCTCCAACAACAACCATAGCTGCTCCAACAACAACCACAGCTGCACCAACAACAACCACAGCTGCACCAACAACAACCACAGCTGCTCCAACAACAACCATAGCTGCTCCAACAACAACCACAGCTGCACCAACAAAAACCACAGCTGCTTCAACAACAACCACAGCTGCACCAACAACAACCACAGCTGCACCAACAACAACCACAACTGCACCAACAAACACAGCTGCTTCAACTACAACCACAGCTGCCCCAGCTACAACCACAGCTGCCCCAACATCAACCACAACTGCACCAACAACCACAACTGCACCAACAACCACAGCTGCTTCAACTACAACCACAACTGCCCCAGCTACAAGCACAGCTGCACCAACAACAACCACAGCTGCACCAACAACAACCACAGCTGCTCCAACAACAACCACAGCTGCACCAACAACAACCAAAGCTGCTTCAACAACAACAACAGCTGCACCAACAACAACCACAACTGCACCAACAACCACAGCTGCTTCAACTACAACCACAGCTGCCCCAGCTACAACCACAGCTGCACCAACAACAACCACAGCTGCACCAACAACAACCACAGCTGCACCAACAACAGCCACAGCTGCCCCAACAACAACCACAGCTGCACCAACAACAACCACAGCTGCACCAACAACAACCAAAGCTGCACCAACAACAACCACAGCTGCGCCAACAACCACAGCCGCTCCAACATCAACCACAGCTGCTTCAACAACAACCACAGCTGCACCAACAACAACCACAGCTGCACCAACAACCACAGCTGCTTCAACTACAACCACAGCTGCCCCAGGTACAACCACGGCCGCACCAACAACAACCACAGCTGCCCCAGCTACAACCACAGCTGCTCCAACATCAACCACAACTGCACCAAAAACCACAGCTGCTTCAACTACAACAACAGCTGCCCCAGGTACAACCACAGCTGCACCAACAACAACCACAGCTGCACAAAAAACAACCACAGCTGCTCCAACAACAACCACAGCTGCTCCAACAACAACCACAGCAGCCCCCAAAACAACCACAGCTCATCCTACTACAACTACAGCTGCACCACCAACAACCAAAGCTGATCCTACTACAACTACAGCTGTCCCAACAACAACCACAGCTGCCCTAACAACAACCACAGCTGCTGCTACTACAACAACAGCTGCCCCAACAACAACCACTGCTAGCACAACAACAACAACCACAGCTGCCCCAGCTACAACCACAGCTGCTCCAACATCAACCACAACTGCACCAGCAACCACAGCTGCTCCAACTACAACCACAGCTGCCCCAGCTACAACCACAGCTGCACAAACAACAACCACAACTGCACCAACAACAACCACAGCTGCTCAAAAAAACACCACAGCTGCTCCAACAACAACCACAGCTGCTCCAACAACAACCACAGCTGCCCCAGCTACAACCACAGCTGCTCCAACATCAACCACAACTGCACCAACAACCACAGCTGCTTCAACTACAACCACAGCTACACCAACAACAACCACAGCTGCACCAACAACAACAACAGCTGCACCCACAACAACCACAGCTGCTTCAAAAACAACCACAGCTGCACCAACAACAACCACAGCTGCACCAACAACAACCACAGCTGCCCCAGCTACAACCACAGCTGCTCCAACATCAACCACAACTGCACCAACAACCACAGCTGCTTCAACTACAACCACAGCTGCCCCAGCTACAACCACAGCTGCACCAACATCAACCACAGCTGCACCAACAACAACCACAGCTGCACCAACAACAACCACAGCTTCTCCAACAACAACCACAGCTGCACCAACAACAACCACAGCTATACCAACAACCACAGCTGCCCCAACTACAACCACAGCTGCCCCAACATCAACCACAACTGCACCAACAACCACAGCTGCTTCAACTACAACCACAACTGCCCCAGCTACAACCACAGCTGTACCAACAACAACCACAGCTGCACCAACAACAACCACAGCTGCTCCACCAACAACCACAGCTGCTCCAACAACAACCACAGCTGCACCAACAACAACCACAGCTGCTTCAACAACAACAACAGCTGCACCAACAACAACCACAACTGCACCAACAACCACAGCTTCTTTAACTACAACTACAGCTGCCCCAGCTACAACCACAGCTGCACCAACAACAACCACAGCTGCACCAACAACAACCACAGCTGGACCAACAACCACAGCTGCTCCAACAACAACCACAGCTGCTCCAACAACAACCACAGCTGCACCAACATCAACCACAGCTGCACCAACAAAAATGACAGCTGCACCAACAAAAACCACAGCTGCTCTAACAACAAACACAGCTGCACCAACAACAACCACAGCTGCACCAACAACAGCCACAGCTGCCCCAACAACAACCACAGCTGCACCAACAACAACCACAGCTGCACCAACAACAACCACAGCTGCACCAACAACAACCACAGCTGCCCCAACAACAACCACAGCTGCGCCAACAACCAGAGCCGCTCCAACATCAACCACAGCTGCTTCAACTACAACCACAGCTGCCCCAGCTACAACCACAGCTGCTTCAACTACAACCACAGCTGCCCCAGCAACAACCACAGCTGCACCAACAACAACCACAGCTGCCCCAGCTACAACCACAGCTGCTCCAACAACAACCACAGCTGCCCCAGCTACAACCACAGCTGCTTCAACTACAACCACAGCTGCCCCAGCTACAACCACAGCTGCACCAACAACAACCACAGCTGCACCAACAACAACCACAGCTGCTCCAACAACAACCACAGCTGCTCCAACAACCACAGCTGCACCATTAACAACCACAGCTGCACCAACAACAACCACAGCTGTACCAACAACAACAACCATAGCTGCACCAACAATAACCACAGCTGCACCAACATCAACCACAGCTGCACCAACAACAACCACAGCTGCACCAACAACAACCACAGCTGCTCCAACAACAACCACAGCCACACCAACAACAACCACAGCTGCACCAACAACAGCCACAGCTGCCCCAACAACAACCACAGCTGCACCAACAACAACCAAAGCTGCACCAACAACAACCACAAGGTCACCAACAACAACCACAGCTGCGCCAACAACCACAGCCGCTCCAACATCAACCACAGCTGCTTCAACAACAACCACAGCTGCACCAACAACAACCACAGCTGCTTCAACTACAACCACAGCTGCCCCAGGTACAACCACAGCCGCACCAACAACAACCACAGCTGCCCCAGCTACAACCACAGCTGCTCCAACATCAACCACAACTGCACCAAAAACCACAGCTGCTTCAACTACAACAACAGCTGCCCCAGGTACAACCACAGCTGCACCAACAACAACCACAGCTGCACAAAAAACAACCACAGCTGCTCCAACAACAACCACAGCTGCTCCAACAACAACCACAGCAGCCCCCAAAACAACCACAGCTCATCCTACTACAACTACAGCTGCACCACCAACAACCAAAGCTGATCCTACTACAACTACAGCTGCCCCAACAACAACCACAGCTGCCCTAACAACATCCACAGCTGCTGCTACTACAACAACAGCTGCCCCAACAACAACCACAGCTGCCCCAGCTACAACCACAGCTGCTCCAACATCAACCACAACTGCACCAACAACCACAGCTGCTTCAACTACAACCACAGCTACACCAACAACAACCACAGCTGCACCAACAACAACAACAGCTGCACCCACAACAACCACAGCTGCTTCAAAAACAACCACAGCTGCACCAACAACAACCACAGCTGCCCCAGCTACAACCACAGCTGCTCCAACATCAACCACAACTGCACCAACAACCACAGCTGCTTCAACTACAACCACAGCTGCCCCAGCTACAACCACAGCTGCACCAACATCAACCACAGCTGCACCAACAACAACCACAGCTGCACCAACAACAACCACAGCTTCTCCAACAACAACCACAGCTGCACCAACAACAACCACAGCTGCTTCAACAACAACAACAGCTGCACCAACAACAACCACAACTGCACCAACAACCACAGCTTCTTTAACTACAACTACAGCTGCCCCAGCTACAACCACAGCTGCACCACCAACAACAACCACAGCTGCACCAACAACAACCACAGCTGGACCAACAACCACAGCTGCTCCAACAACAACCACAGCTGCTCCAACAACAACCACAGCTGCACCAACATCAACCACAGCTGCACCAACAAAAATGACAGCTGCACCAACAACAACCACAGCTGCTCTAACAACAAACACAGCTGCACCAACAACAACCACAGCTTCACCAACAACAGCCACAGCTGCCCCAACAACAACCACAGCTGCACCAACAACAACGACAGCTGCTTCAACTACAACCACAGCTGCCCCAGCTACAACCACAGCTGCACCAACATCAACCACAGCTGCACCAACAACAACCACAGCTGCACCAACAACAACCACAGCTTCTCCAACAACAACCACAGCTGCACCAACAACAACCACAGCTGCACCAACAACCACAGCTGCCCCAACTACAACCACAGCTGCCCCAACATCAACCACAACTGCACCAACAACCACAGCTGCTTCAACTACAACCACAACTGCCCCAGCTACAACCACAGCTGTACCAACAACAACCACAGCTGCACCAACAACAACCACAGCTGCTCCACCAAAAACCACAGCTGCTCCAACAACAACCACAGCTGCACCAACAACAACCACAGCTGCTTCAACAACAACAACAGCTGCACCAACAACAACCACAACTGCACCAACAACCACAGCTTCTTTAACTACAACTACAGCTGCCCCAGCTACAACCACAGCTGCACCAACAACAACCACAGCTGCACCAACAACAACCACAGCTGGACCAACAACCACAGCTGCTCCAACAACAACCACAGCTGCTCCAACATCAACCACAGCTGCACCAACAAAAATGACAGCTGCACCACCAACAACCACAGCTGCTCTAACAACAAACACAGCTGCACCAACAACAACCACAGCTGCACCAACAACAGCCACAGCTGCCCCAACAACAACCACAGCTGCACCAACAACAACGACAGCTGCACCAACAACAACCACAGCTGCACCAACAACAACCACAGCTGCCCCAACAACAACCACAGCTGCGCCAACAACCAGAGCCGCTCCAACATCAACCACAGCTGCTTCAACTACAACCACAGCTGCCCCAGGTACAACCACAGCCGCACCAACAACAACCACAGCTGCCCCAGCTACAACCACAGCTGCTCCAACAACAACCACAGCTGCCCCAGCTACAACCACAGCTGCTTCAACTACAACCACAGCTGCCCCAGCTACAACCACAGCTGCACCAACAACAACCACAGCTGCACCAACAACAACCACAGCTGCTCCAACAACCACAGCTGCACCATTAACAACCACAGCTGCACCAACAACAACCACAGCTGTACCAACAACAACAACCATAGCTGCACCAACAACAACCACAGCTGCACCAACATCAACCACAGCTGCACCAACAACAACCACAGCTGCACCAACAACAACCACAGCTGCTCCAACAACAACCACAGCTGCACCAACAACAACCACAGCTGCACCAACAACAGCCACAGCTGCCCCAACAACAACCACAGCTGCACCAACAACAACCAAAGCTGCACCAACAACAACCACAGCTGCACCAACAACAACCACAGCTGCGCCAACAACCACAGCCGCTCCAACATCAACCACAGCTGCTTCAACAACAACCACAGCTGCACCAACAACAACCACAGCTGCACCAACAACCACAGCTGTTTCAACTACAACCACAGCTGCCCCAGGTACAACCACAGCCGCACCAACAACAACCACAGCTGCCCCAGCTACAACCACAGCTGCTCCAACATCAACCACAACTGCACCAAAAACCACAGCTGCTTCAACTACAACAACAGCTGCCCCAGGTACAACCACAGCTGCACCAACAACAACCACAGCTGCACCAACAACAACCACAGCTGCTCCAACAACAACCACAGCTGCTCCAACAACAACCACAGCAGCCCCCAAAACAACCACAGCTCATCCTACTACAACTACAGCTGCACCACCAACAACCAAAGCTGATCCTACTACAACTACAGCTGCCCCAACAACAACCACAGCTGCCCTAACAACATCCACAGCTGCTGCTACTACAACAACAGCTGCCCCAACAACAACCACAGCTGCACCAACATCAACCACAGCTGCACCAACAACAACCACAGCTGCACCAACAACAACCACAGCTTCTCCAACAACAACCACAGCTGCACCAACAACAACCACAGCTGCACCAACAACCACAGCTGCCCCAACTACAACCACAGCTGCCCCAACATCAACCACAACTGCACCAACAACCACAGCTGCTTCAACTACAACCACAACTGCCCCAGCTACAACCACAGCTGTACCAACAACAACCACAGCTGCACCAACAACAACCACAGCTGCTCCACCAAAAACCACAGCTGCTCCAACAACAACCACAGCTGCACCAACAACAACCACAGCTGCTTCAACAACAACAACAGCTGCACCAACAACAACCACAACTGCACCAACAACCACAGCTTCTTTAACTACAACTACAGCTGCCCCAGCTACAACCACAGCTGCACCAACAACAACCACAGCTGCACCAACAACAACCACAGCTGGACCAACAACCACAGCTGCTCCAACAACAACCACAGCTGCTCCAACAACAACCACAGCTGCACCAACATCAACCACAGCTGCACCAACAAAAATGACAGCTGCACCACCAACAACCACAGCTGCTCTAACAACAAACACAGCTGCACCAACAACAACCACAGCTGCACCAACAACAGCCACAGCTGCACCAACAACAACGACAGCTGCACCAACAACAACCACAGCTGCACCAACAACAACCACAGCTGCCCCAACAACAACCACAGCTGCGCCAACAACCAGAGCCGCTCCAACATCAACCACAGCTGCTTCAACTACAACCACAGCTGCCCCAGGTACAACCACAGCCGCACCAACAACAACCACAGCTGCCCCAGCTACAACCACAGCTGCTCCAACAACAACCACAGCTGCCCCAGCTACAACCACAGCTGCTTCAACTACAACCACAGCTGCCCCAGCTACAACCACAGCTGCACCAACAACAACCACAGCTGCACCAACAACAACCACAGCTGCTCCAACAACCACAGCTGCACCATTAACAACCACAGCTGCACCAACAACAACCACAGCTGTACCAACAACAACAACCATAGCTGCACCAACAACAACCACAGCTGCACCAACATCAACCACAGCTGCACCAACAACAACCACAGCTGCACCAACAACAACCACAGCTGCTCCAACAACAACCACAGCTGCACCAACAACAACCACAGCTGCACCAACAACAGCCACAGCTGCCCCAACAACAACCACAGCTGCACCAACAACAACCAAAGCTGCACCAACAACAACCACAGCTGCACCAACAACAACCACAGCTGCGCCAACAACCACAGCCGCTCCAACATCAACCACAGCTGCTTCAACAACAACCACAGCTGCACCAACAACAACCACAGCTGCACCAACAACCACAGCTGTTTCAACTACAACCACAGCTGCCCCAGGTACAACCACAGCCGCACCAGCTACAACCACAGCTGCCCCAGCTACAACCACAGCTGCTCCAACATCAACCACAACTGCACCAAAAACCACAGCTGCTTCAACTACAACAACAGCTGCCCCAGGTACAACCACAGCTGCACCAACAACAACCACAGCTGCACCAACAACAACCACAGCTGCTCCAACAACAACCACAGCTGCTCCAACAACAACCACAGCAGCCCCCAAAACAACCACAGCTCATCCTACTACAACTACAGCTGCACCACCAACAACCAAAGCTGATCCTACTACAACTACAGCTGCCCCAACAACAACCACAGCTGCCCTAACAACATCCACAGCTGCTGCTACTACAACAACAGCTGCCCCAACAACAACCACTGCTAGCACAACAACAACAACCACAGCTGCCCCAGCTACAACCACAGCTGCTCCAACATCAACCACAACTGCACCAACAACCACAGCTGCTTCAACTAAAACCACAGCTGCTCCAACATACACCACAACTGCACCAACAACCACAGCTGCTTCAACTACAACCACAACTGCCCCAGCTACAACCACAGCTGCACCAACAACAACCACAGCTGCACCAACAACAACCACAGCTGCTCCAACAACAACCACAGCTGCACCAACAACAACCACAGCTGCTTCAACAACAACCACAGCGGCACCAACAACAACCACAACTGCACCAACAACCACAGCTGCTTCAACTACAACCACAGCTGCCCCAGCTACAACCACAGCTGCACCAACAACAACCACAGCTGCACCAACAACAACCACAGCTGCTCCAACAACAACCACAGCTGCTCCAACAACAACCACAGCTGCACCAACAACAACCACAGCTGCACCAACAACAACCACAGCTGTACCAACAACAACAACCATAGCTGCACCAACAACAACCACAGCTGCACCAACATCAACCACAGCTGCACAAACAAGAACCACAGCTGCACCAACAACAACCACAGCTGCTCCAACAACAACCACAGCTGCACCAACAACAACCACAGCTGCACCAACTACAACCACAGCTGCCCCAACAACAACCACAGCTGCACCAACTACAACCACAGCTGCACCAACAACAACCACAGCTGCCCCAACAACAACCACGGCTGCACCAACAACAACCACAGCTGCTCCAACAACAACCACAGCTGCACCAACAACAACCACAGCTGCTTCAACAACAACCACAGCTGCCCCAGCTACAACCACAGATGCTCCAACATCAACCACAACTGCACCAACAACCACAGCTGTTTCAACTACAACCACAGCTGCCCCAGCTACAACCACAGCTGCACCAACAACAACCACAGCTGCACCAACAACAACCACAGCTGCACCAACAACAACCACAGCTGCTCCAACAACAACCACAGCTGCTCCAACAACAACCACAGCTGCACCAACAAAAACCACAGCTGCACCAACAACCACAGCTGCTTCAACTACAACCACAGCTGCCCCAGCTACAACCACAGCTGCACCAACAACAACCACAGCTGCACCAAAAACAACCACAGCTGCTCCAACAACAACCACAGCTGCACCAACAACAACCACAGCTGCACCAACAACAACAAAGATAGCGGCACCAACAACAACCACAGCTGCACCAACATCAACCACAGCTGCACCAACAACAACCACAGCTGCACCAACAACAACCACAGCTGCTCCAACAACAACCACAGCTGCACCAACAACAACCACAGCTGCCCCAACAACAACCACAGCTGCACCAACAACAACCACAGCTGCACCAACAACAACCACAGCTGCTCCAACAACAACCACAGCTGCGCCAACAACCACAGCCGCTCCAACATCAACCACAACTGCTTCAACAACAACCACAGCTGCACCAACAACCACAGCTGCTTCAACTTTAACCAAAGCTGCCCCAGCTACAACCACAGCCGCACCAACAACAACCACAGCTGCCCCAGCTACAACCACAGCTGCTCCAACATCAACCACAACTGCACCAACAACCACAGCTGCTTCAACTACAACCACAGCTGCACCAACAACAACCACAGCTGCACCAACAACAACCACAGCTGCACCAACAACAACCACAGCTGCTCCAACAACAACCACAGCTGCTCCAACAACAACCACAGCTGCACCAAACACAACCACAGCTGCACCAACAACAACCACAGCTATACCAACAACAACAACAACCATAGCTGCACCAACAACAACCACAGCTGCACCAACATCAACCACAGCTGCACCAACAACAACCACAGCTGCCCCAACAACAACCACGGCTGCAGCAACAACAACCACAGCTGCTCCAACAACAACCACAGCTGCACCAACAACAACCACAGCTGCCCCAGCTACAACCACAGCTGCTCCAACATCAACCACTACTGCACCAACAACCACAGCTGCTTCAACTACAACCACAGCTGTCCCAGCTACAACCACAGCTGCACCAACAACAACCACAGCTGCACCAACAACAACCACAGCTGCTCCAACAACAACCACAGCTGCTCCAACAACAACCACAGCTGCACCAACAAAAACCACAGCTGCTTCAACAACAACCACAGCTGCACCAACAACAACCACAGCTGCACCAACAACAACCACAACTGCACCAACAAACACAGCTGCTTCAACTACAACCACAGCTGCCGCAGCTACAACCACAGCTGCACCAACATCAACAACAGCTGCACCAACAACAACCACAGCTGCACCAACAACAACCACAGCTGCACCAACAACAACCACAGCTGCCCCAACAACAACCACAGCTGCGCCAACAACCACAGCCGCTCCAACATCAACCACAGCTGCTTCAACAACAACCACAGCTGCACCAACAGCAACCACAGCTATACTAACAACAACAACAACCATAGCTGCACCAACAACAACCACAGCTGCAGCAACATCAACCACAGCTGCACATACAACAACCACAGCTGCCCCAACAACAACCACGGCTGCACCAACAACAACCACAGCTGCTCCAACAACAACCACAGCTGCACCAACAACAACCACAGCTGCCCCAGCTACAACCACAGCTGCTCCAACATCAACCACAACTGCACCAACAACCACAGCTGCTTCAACTACAACCACAGCTGCACGAACAACAACCACATCTGCACCATCAACAACCACAGCTGCACCAACAACAACCACAGCTGCTCCAAAAACAACGACAGCTGCTCCATCAACAACCACAGCTGCACCAACAACAACCACAGCTATACCAACAACAACAACAAACATAGCTGCACCAACAACAACCACAGCTGCACCAACATCAACCACAGCTGCACCGACAACAACCACAGCTGCCCCAACAACAACCACGGCTGCACCAACAACAACCACAGCTGCTCCAACAACAACCACAGCTGCACCAACAACAACCACAGCTGCCCCAGCTACAACCACAGCTGCTCCAACATCAACCACATCTGCACCAACAACCACAGCTGCTTCAACTACAACCACAGCTGCCCCAGCTACAACCACAGCTGCACCAACAACAACCACAGCTGCACCAACAACAACCACAGCTGCTCCAACAACAACCACAGCTGCACCAACAAAAACCACAGCTGCTTCAACAATAACCACAGCTGCACCAACAACAACCACAGCTGCACCAAACACAACCACAACTGCACCAACAACCACAGCTGCTTCAACTACAACCACAGCTGCCCCCGCTACAACCACAGCTGCACCAACCACAACCACAGCTGCACCAACCACAACCACAGCTGCACCAAGAACAACCACAGCTGCCCCAGCTACAACCACAGCTGCTCCAACATCAACCACAACTGCACCAACAACCACAGCTGCTTCAACTACAACCACAGCTGCCCCAGCTACAAGCACAGCTGCACCAACAACAACCACAGCTGCACCAACAACAACCACAGCTGCTCCAACAACAACCACAGCTGCTCCAACAACAACCACAGCTGCACCAACAAAAACCACAGCTGCACCAACAACAACCACAGCTGCATCAACAACAACCACAGCTGCACCAACAACCACAGCTGCTTCAACTACAACCACAGCTGCCCCAGCTACAACCACAGCTGCACCAACAACAACCACAGCTGCACCAACAACAACCACAGCTGCTCCAACAACAACTACAGCTGTACCAACAACAACCACAGCTTTACCAACAACAACCACAGCTGTACCAACAACAACAAAGATAGCTGCACCAACAACAACCACAGCTGCACCAACATCAACCACAGCTGCACCAACAACAACCACAGCTGCACCAACAACAACCACAGCTGCTCCAACAACAACCACAGCTGCACCAACAACAACCACAGCTGCCCCAACAACAACCACAGCTGCACCAACAACAACCACAGCTCTCCCAACAACAACCACAGCTGTGCCAACAACCACAGCCGCTCCAACATCAACAACAGCTGCTTCAACAACAACCACAGCTGCACCAACAACCACAGCTGCCCCAGCTACAACCACAGCCGCACCAACAACAACCACAGCTGCCCCAGCTACAACCACAGCTGCACCAACAACAACCACAGCTATACCAACAACAACAACAACCATAGCTGCACCAACAACAACCACAGCTGCACCAACATCAACCACAGCTGCACCAACAACAACCACAGCTGCCCCAACAACAACCACGGCTGCACCAACAACAACCACAGCTGCTCCAACAACAACCACAGCTGCACCAACAACAACCACAGCTGCCCCAGCTACAACCACAGCTGCTCCAACATCAACCACAACTGCACCAACAACCACAGCTGCTTCAACTACAACCACAGCTGTCCCAGCTACAACCACAGCTGCACCAACAACAACCACAGCTGCACCAACAACAACCACAGCTGCTCCAACAACAACCACAGCTGCTCCAACAACAACCACAGCTGCACCAACAAAAACCACAGCTGCTTCAACAACAACCACAGCTGCACCAACAACAACCACAGCTGCACCAACAACAACCACAACTGCACCAACAAACACAGCTGCTTCAACTACAACCACAGCTGCCGCAGCTACAACCACAGCTGCACCAACATCAACAACAGCTGCACCAACAACAACCACAGCTGCACCAACAACAACCACAGCTGCACCAACAACAACCACAGCTGCCCCAAGAACAACCACAGCTGCGCCAACAACCACAGCCGCTCCAACATCAACCACAGCTGCTTCAACAACAACCACAGCTGCATCAACAGCAACCACAGCTATACTAACAACAACAACAACCATAGCTGCACCAACAACAACCACAGCTGCAGCAACATCAACCACAGCTGCACATACAACAACCACAGCTGACCCAACAACAACCACGGCTGCACCAACAACAACCACAGCTGCTCCAACAACAACCACAGCTGCACCAACAACAACCACAGCTGCCCCAGCTACAACCACAGCTGCTCCAACATCAACCACAACTGCACCAACAACCACAGCTGCTTCAACTACAACTACAGCTGCACGAACAACAACCACATCTGCACCATCAACAACCACAGCTGCACCAACAACAACCACAGCTGCTCCAAAAACAACGACAGCTGCTCCATCAACAACCACAGCTGCACCAACAACAACCACAGCTATACCAACAACAACAACAAACATAGCTGCACCAACAACAACCACAGCTGCACCAACATCAACCACAGCTGCACCAACAACAACCACAGCTGCCCCAACAACAACCACGGCTGCACCAACAACAACCACAGCTGCTCCAACAACAACCACAGCTGCACCAACAACAACCACAGCTGCCCCAGCTACAACCACAGCTGCTCCAACATCAACCACAACTGCACCAACAACCACAGCTGCTTCAACTACAACCACAGCTGTCCCAGCTACAACCACAGCTGCACCAACAACAACCACAGCTGCACCAACAACAACCACAGCTGCTCCAACAACAACCACAGCTGCTCCAACAACAACCACAGCTGCACCAACAACCACAGCTGCCCCAGCTACAACCACAGCCGCACCAACAACAACCACAGCTGCCCCAGCTACAACCACAGCTGCACCAACAACAACCACAGCTATACCAACAACAACAACAACCATAGCTGCACCAACAACAACCACAGCTGCACCAACATCAACCACAGCTGCACCAACAACAACCACAGCTGCCCCAACAACAACCACGGCTGCACCAACAACAACCACAGCTGCTCCAACAACAACCACAGCTGCACCAACAACAACCACAGCTGCCCCAGCTACAACCACAGCTGCTCCAACATAGACCACAACTGCACCAACAACCACAGCTGCTTCAACTACAACCACAGCTGTCCCAGCTACAACCACAGCTGCACCAACAACAACCACAGCTGCACCAACAACAACCACAGCTGCTCCAACAACAACCACAGCTGCTCCAACAACAACCACAGCTGCACCAACAAAAACCACAGCTGCTTCAACAACAACCACAGCTGCACCAACAACAACCACAGCTGCACCAACAACAACCACAACTGCACCAACAAACACAGCTGCTTCAACTACAACCACAGCTGCTGCAGCTACAACCACAGCTGCACCAACATCAACAACAGCTGCACCAACAACAACCACAGCTGCACCAACAACAACCACAGCTGCACCAACAACAACCACAGCTGCCCCAAGAACAACCACAGCTGCGCCAACAACCACAGCCGCTCCAACATCAACCACAGCTGCTTCAACAACAACCACAGCTGCATCAACAGCAACCACAGCTATACTAACAACAACAACAACCATAGCTGCACCAACAACAACCACAGCTGCAGCAACATCAACCACAGCTGCACATACAACAACCACAGCTGACCCAACAACAACCACGGCTGCACCAACAACAACCACAGCTGCTCCAACAACAACCACAGCTGCACCAACAACAACCACAGCTGCCCCAGCTACAACCACAGCTGCTCCAACATCAACCACAACTGCACCAACAACCACAGCTGCTTCAACTACAACCACAGCTGCACGAACAACAACCACATCTGCACCATCAACAACCACAGCTGCACCAACAACAACCACAGCTGCTCCAAAAACAACGACAGCTGCTCCATCAACAACCACAGCTGCACCAACAACAACCACAGCTATACCAACAACAACAACAAACATAGCTGCACCAACAACAACCACAGCTGCACCAACATCAACCACAGCTGCACCAACAACAACCACAGCTGCCCCAACAACAACCACGGCTGCACCAACAACAACCACAGCTGCTCCAACAACAACCACAGCTGCACCAGCAACAACCACAGCTGCCCCAGCTACAACCACAGCTGCTCCAACATCAACCACATCTGCACCAACAACCACAGCTGCTTCAACTACAACCACAGCTGCCCCAGCTACAACCACAGCTGCACCAACAACAACCACAGCTGCACCAACAGCAACCACAGCTGCTCCAACAACAACCACAGCTGCACCAACAAAAACCACAGCTGCTTCAACAATAACCACAGCTGCACCAACAACAACCACAGCTGCACCAAACACAACCACAACTGCACCAACTACCACAGCTGCTTCAACTACAACCACAGCTGCCCCCGCTACAACCACAGCTGCACCAACCACAACCACAGCTGCACCAACCACAACCACAGCTGCACCAAGAACAACCACAGCTGCCCCAGCTACAACCACAGCTGCTCCAACATCAACCACAACTGCACCAACAACCACAGCTGCTTCAACTACAACCACAGCTGCCCCAGCTACAAGCACAGCTGCACCAACAACAACCACAGCTGCACCAACAACAACCACAGCTGCTCCAACAACAACCACAGCTGCTCCAACAACAACCACAGCTGCACCAACAAAAACCACAGCTGCACCAACAACAACCACAGCTGCACCAACAACCACAGCTGCTTCAACTACAACCACAGCTGCCCCAGCTACAACCACAGCTGCACCAACAACAACCACAGCTGCACCAACAACAACCACAGCTGCTCCAACAACAACCACAGCTGTACCAACAACAACCACAGCTTTACCAACAACAACCACAGCTGTACCAACAACAACAAAGATAGCTGCACCAACAACAACCACAGCTGCACCAACATCAACCACAGCTGCACCAACAACAACCACAGCTGCACCAACAACAACCACAGCTGCTCCAACAACAACCACAGCTGCACCAACAACAACCACAGCTGCCCCAACAACAACCACAGCTGCACCAACAACAACCACAGCTCTCCCAACAACAACCACAGCTGTGCCAACAACCACAGCCGCTCCAACATCAACCACAGCTGCTTCAACAACAACCACAGCTGCACCAACAACCACAGCTGCTTCAACTACAACCACAGCTGCACCAACAACAACCACAGCTGCACCAACAACCACAGCTGCTTCAACTACAACCAAAGCTGCCCCAGCTACAACCACAGCCGCACCAACAACAACCACAGCTGCCCCAAATACAACCACAGCTGCTCCAACATCAACCACAACTGCACCAACAACCACAGCTGCTTCAACTACAACCACAGCTGCATTAACAACAACCACAGCTGCACCAACAACAACCACAGCTGCACCAACAACAACCACAGCTGTTCCAACAACAACCACAGCTGCTCCAAAAACAACCACAGCTGCACCAACAACAACCACAGCTGCACCAACAGCAACCACAGCTATACTAACAACAACAACAACCATAGCTGCACCAACAACAACCACAGCTGCAGCAACATCAACCACAGCTGCACATACAACAACCACAGCTGCCCCAACAACAACCACAGCTGCACCAACAACAACCACAGCTGCTCCAACAACAACCACAGCTGCACCAACAACAACCACAGCTGCCCCAGCTACAACCACAGCTGCTCCAACATCAACCACAACTGCACCAACAACCACAGCTGCTTCAACTACAACCACAGCTGCCCCAGCTACAACCACAGCTGCACCAACAACAACCACAGCTGCACCAACAACAACCACAGCTGCTCCAACAACAACCACAGCTGCTCCAACAACAACCACAGCTGCACCAACAAAAACCACAGCTGCTTCAACAACCACCACAGCTGCACCAACAACAACCACAGCTGCACCAACAACAACCACAACTGCACCAACAAACACAGCTGCTTCAACTACAACCACAGCTGCCCCAGCTACAACCACAGCTGCACCAACATCAACCACAGCTGCACCAACAACAACCACAGCTGCTCCAACAACAACCACAGCTGCTCCAACAACAACCACAGCTGCACCAACAACAACCACAGCTGCCCCAACAACAACCACAGCTGCACCAACAACAACCACAGCTGCACCAACAACAACCACAGCTGCCCCAACAACAACCACAGCTGCGCCAGCAACCACAGCCGCTCCAACATCAACCACAGCTGCTTCAACAACAACCACAGCTGCCCCAGCTACAACCACAGCTACTCCAACATCAACCACAACTGCACCAACAACCACAGCTGCTTTAACTACAACCACAGCTGCCCCAGCTACAACCACAGCTGCACCAACAACAACCACAGCTGCACCAACAACAACCACAGCTGCTCCAACAACAACCACAGCTGCTCCAACAACAACCACAGCTGCACCAACAAAAACCACAGCTGCACCAACAACAACCACAGCTGCACCAACAACCACCACAGCTGCACCAACAACCACAGCTGCTTCAACTACAACCACAGCTGCCCCAGCTACAACCACAGCTGCACCAACAACAACCACAGCTGCACCAACAACAACCACAGCTGCTCCAACAACAACCACAGCTGTACCAACAACAACCACAGCTTCACCAACAACAACCACAGCTGTACCAACAACAACAAAGATAGCTGCACCAACAACAACCACAGCTGCACCAACTTCAACCACAGCTGCACCAACAACAACCACAGCTGCACCAACAACAACCACAGCTGCTCCAACAACAACCACAGCTGCACCAACAACAACCACAGCTGCCCCAACAACAACCACAGCTGCACCAACAACAACCACAGCTGCACCAACAACAACCACAGCTGTGCCAACAACCACAGCCGCTCCAACATCAACCACAGCTGCTTCAACAACAACCACAGCTGCACCAACAACCACAGCTGCTTCAACTACAACCACAGCTGCACCAACAACAACCACAGCTGCACCAACAACCACAGCTGCTTCAACTACAACCAAAGCTGCCCCAGCTACAACCACAGCCGCACCAACAACAACCACAGCTGCCCCAGCTACAACCACAGCTGCTCCAACATCAACCACAACTGCACCAACAACCACAGCCGCTCCAACATCAATCACAGCTGCTTCAACAACAACCACAGCTGCACCAACAACCACAGCTGCTTCAACTACAACCACAGCTGCACCAACAACAACCACAGCTGCACCAACAACCACAGCTGCTTCAACTACAACCAAAGCTGCCCCAGCTACAACCACAGCCGCACCAACAACAACCACAGCTGCCCCAGCTACAACCACAGCTGCTCCAACATCAACCACAACTGCACCAACAACCACAGCTGCTTCAACTACAACCACAGCTGCACCAACAACAACCACAGCTGCACCAACAGCAACCACAGCTATACTAACAACAACAACAACCATAGCTGCACCAACAACCACCACAGCTGCACCAACATCAACCACAGCTGCACCAACAACAACCACAGCTGCCCCAACAACAACCACGGCTGCACCAACAACAACCACAGCTGCCCCAGCTACAACCACAGCTGCTCCAACATCAACCACAACTGCACCAACAACCACAGCTGCTTCAACTACAACCACAGCTGCCCCAGCTACAACCACAGCTGCACCAACAACAACCACAGCTGCACCAACAACAACCACAGCTGCTCCAACAACAACCACAGCTGCTCCAACAACAACCACAGCTGCACCAACAAAAACCACAGCTGCTTCAACAACAACCACAGCTGCACCAACAACAACCACAGCTGCACCAACAACAACCACAACTGCACCAACAAACACAGCTGCTTCAACTACAACCACAGCTGCCCCAGCTACAACCACAGCTGCACCAACATCAACCACAGCTGCACCAACAACAACCACAGCTGCACCAACAACAACCACAGCTGCTCCAACAACAACCACAGCTGCACCAACAACAACCACAGCTGCCCCAACAACAACCACAGCTGCACCAACAACAACCACAGCTGCCCCAACAACAACCACAGCTGCGCCAGCAACCACAGCCGCTCCAACATCAACCACAGCTGCTTCAACAACAACCACAGCTGCAACAACAACAACCACAGCTGCACCAACAACCACAGCTGCACCAACAACCACAGCTGCTTCAACTACAACCAAAGCTGCCCCAGCTACAACCACAGCTGCACCAACAACAACCACAGCTGCCCCAGCTACAACCACAGCTGCTCCAACATCAACCACAACTGCACCAACAACCACAGCTGCTTCAACTACAACCACAGCTGCACCAACAACAACCACAGCTGCACCAACAACAACCACAGCTGCACCAACAACAAACACAGCTGCTCCAACAACAACCACAGCTGCTCCAACAACAACCACAGCTGCACCAACAACAACCACAGCTGCACCAACAACAACCACAGCTATACCAACAACAACAACCATAGCTGCACCAACAACAACCACAGCTGCACCAACATCAACCACAGCTGCACCAACAACAACCACAGCTGCCCCAACAACAACCACGGCTGCACCAACAACAACCACAGCTGCACCAACAACAACCAAAGCTGTCCCAGCTACAACCAGAGCTGCTCCAACATCAACCACAACTGCACCAACAACCACAGCTGCTTCAACTAGAACCACAGCTGCCCCAGCTACAACCACAGCTGCACCAACAACAACCACAGCTGCACCAACAACAACCACAGCTGCTCCAACCACAACCACAGCTGCTCCAACAACAACCACAGCTGCACCAACAAAAACCACAGCTGCTTCAACAACAACCACAGCTGCACCAACAACAGCCACAGCTGCACCAACAGCAACCACAACTGCACCAACAACCACAGCTGCTTCAACTACAACCACAGCTGCCCCAGCTACAACCACAGCTGCACCAACAACAACCACAGCTGCACCAACCACAACCACAGCTGCACCAACCACAACCACAGCTGCACCAACAACAACCACAGCTGCTCCAACAACAACCACAGCTGTACCAACAACAACCACAGCTGCACCAACAAAAACCACAGCTGTACCAACAACAACAAAGATAGCTGCACCAACAACAACCACAGCTGCACCAACATCAACCACAGCTGCACCAACAACAACCACAGCTGCACCAACAACAACCACAGCTGCACCAACAACAACCACAGCTGCACCAACAACAACCACAGCTGCACCAACAACAACCACAGCTGCCCCAACAACAACCACAGCTGCGCCAACAACCACAGCCGCTCCAACATCAACCACAGCTGCTTCAACAACAACCACAGCTGCACCAACAACAACCACAGCTGCACCAACAACCACAGCTGCACCAACAACCACAGCTGCTTCAACTACAACCACAGCTGCCCCAGCTACAACCACAGCCGCACCAACAACAACCACAGCTGCCCCAGCTACAACCACAGCTGCTCCAACATCACCCACAACTGCATCAACAACCACAGCTGCTTCAACTACAACCACAGCTGCCCCAGCTACAACCACAGCTGCACAAACAACAACCACAGCTGCACCAACAACAACCACAGCTGCTCCAACAACAACCACAGCTGCTCCAACAACAACCACAGCTGCACCAACAACAACCACAGCTGCTTCAACAACAACCACAGCTGCACCAACAACAACCACAGCTGCACCAACAACAACCACAGCTGCTCCAACAACAACCTCAGCTGCTCCAACAACAACCACAGCTGCTCCAACAACAACCACAGCTGCACCAACAACAACCACAGCTGCACCAACAACAACCACAGCTATACCAACAACAACAACAACAACAACCATAGCTGCTCCAACAACAACCACAGCTGCACCAATATCAACCACAGCTGCACCAACAACAACCACAGCTGCACCAACAACAACCACAGCTGCTCCAACAACAACCACAGCTGCACCAACAACAACCAAAATTGCACCAACAACAACCACAACTGCCCCAACAACAACCACAGCTGCCCCAACAACAACCACAGCTGCACCAACTACAACCACAGCTGCACCAACAACAACCACAGCTGCCCCAACAACAACCACAGCTGCTCCAACAACAACCACAGCTGCTTCAACAACAACCACAGCTGCCCCAGCTACAACCACAGCTGTACCAACAACAACAACCATAGCTGCACCAACAACAACCACAGCTGCACCAACATCAACAACAGCTGCACCAACAACAACCACAGCTGCACCAACAACAACCACAGCTGCTCCAACATCAACCACAACTGCACCAACAACCACAGCTGCTTCAACTACAACCACAACTGCCCCAGCTACAACCACAGCTGCACCAACAACAACCACAGCTGCCCCAGCTACAACCACAGCTGCTTCAACAACAACCACAGCTGCACCAACAACAACCACAGCTGCACCAACAACAACCACAGCTGCACCAACAAAAACCACAGCTGCACCAACAACAACCACAGCTGCAACAACAACAACCACAACTGCTCCAACAACAACCACAGCTGCTCCAACAACAACCACAGCTGCACCAACAACAACCACAGCTGCACCAACAACAACAACAACCATAGCTGCACCAACATCCACCACAGCTGCACCAACATCAACCACAGCTGCACCAACAACAACCACAGCTGCTCCAACAACAACCACAGCTGCACCAACAACAACCAAAATTGCACCAACAACAACCACAACTGCCCCAACAACAACCACAGCTGCCCCAACAACAACCACAGCTGCACCAACCACAACCACAGCTGCACCAACAACAACCACAGCTGCCCCAACAACAACCACGGCTGCACCAACAACAACCACAGCTGCACCAACATCAACCACAGCTGCACCAACAACAACCACAGCTGCACCAACAACAACCACAGCTGCTCCAAAAACAACCACAGCTGCACCAACAACAACCACAGCTGCTCCAACAACAACCACAGCTGCTCCAACAACAACCACAGCTGCACCAACAACAACCACAGCTGCTTCAACAACAACCACAGCTGCACCAACAACAACCACAGCTGCTCCAACAACAACCACATTTACACCAACAACAACCACAGCTGCCCCAACAACAACCACAGCTGCGCCAACAACCACAGCCGCTCCAACATCAACCACAGCTGCGCCAACAACAACCACAGCTGCACCAACAACAACCACAGCTGCACCAACAACAACAACAGCTGCCCCAACAACAACCACAGCTGCTTCAACAACAACCACAGCTGCACCAACAACAACCACAGCTGCACCAACAACAACCACAGCTGCCCCAACAACAACCACAGCTGCGCCAACAACCACAGCCGCTCCAACATCAACCACAGCTGCGCCAACAACAACCACAGCTGCACCAACAACAACCACAGCTGCACCAACAACAACAACAGCTGCCCCAACAACAACCACAGCTGCTTCAACAACAACCACAGCTGCACCAACAACAACCACAGCTGCACCAACAACAACCACAGCTGCACCAACAACAACCACAGCTGCTTTAACAACAACCACAGCAGCACCAACAACAACAACCACAGCTGCACCAACAACAACCACAGCTGCTCCAACATCAACCACAACTGCACCAACAACCACAGCTGCACCAACAACAACCACAGCTGCTCCAACAACAACCACAGCTGCTCCAACAACAACCACAGCTGCACCAACAACAACTACAGCTGCCATAACAACAACCACAGCTGCTTCAACAACAACCACAGCTGCTTCAACAACAACCACAGCTGCCATGACAACAACCACAGCTGCTTCAACAACCACAGCTGCACCAACAACAACCACAGCTGCTTCAACAACAACCACAGCTGCCCCAGCTACAACCACAGCTGCTCCAACATCAACCACAACTGCACCAACAACCACAGCTGCTTCAACTACAACCACAGCTTTCCCAGCTACAACCACAGCTGCTCCAAGAACAACCACAGCTGCACCAACAACAACCACAGCTGCTCCAACAACAACCACAGCTGCTCCAACAACAACCACAGCTGCACCAACAACAACCACAGCTGCTTCAACAACAACCACAGCTGCACCAACAACAACCACAGCTGCACCAACAACCACAGCTGCCCAAGCTACAACCACAGCTGCTCCAACATCAACCACAACTGCACCAACAACCACAGCTGCGTTAACTACAACCACAGCTGCCCCAGCTAATACCACAGCTGCACCAACAACAACCACAGCTGCACCAACAACAACCACAGCTGCTCCAACAACAACCACAGCTGCTCCAACAACCACAGCTGCACCAACAACAACCACTGCTGCACCAACAACAACCACAGCTGTACCAACAACAACAACCATAGCTGCACCAACAACAACCACAGCTGCACCAACAAAAACCACAGCTGCTTCAACAACAACCACAGCTGCACCAACAACAGCCACAGCTGCACCAACAGCAACCACAACTGCACCAACAACCACAGCTGCTTCAACTACAACCACAGCTGCCCCAGCTACAACCACAGCTGCACCAACAACAACCACAGCTGCACCAACCACAACCACAGCTGCACCAACCACAACCACAGCTGCACCAACAACAACCACAGCTGCTCCAACAACAACCACAGCTGTACCAACAACAACCACAGCTGCACCAACAAAAACCACAGCTGTACCAACAACAACAAAGATAGCTGCACCAACAACAACCACAGCTGCACCAACATCAACCACAGCTGCACCAACAACAACCACAGCTGCACCAACAACAACCACAGCTGCACCAACAACAACCACAGCTGCACCAACAACAACCACAGCTGCCCCAACAACAACCACAGCTGCGCCAACAACCACAGCCGCTCCAACATCAACCACAGCTGCTTCAACAACAACCACAGCTGCACCAACAACAACCACAGCTGCACCAACAACCACAGCTGCACCAACAACCACAGCTGCTTCAACTACAACCACAGCTGCCCCAGCTACAACCACAGCCGCACCAACAACAACCACAGCTGCCCCAGCTACAACCACAGCTGCTCCAACATCACCCACAACTGCATCAACAACCACAGCTGCTTCAACTACAACCACAGCTGCCCCAGCTACAACCACAGCTGCACAAACAACAACCACAGCTGCACCAACAACAACCACAGCTGCTCCAACAACAACCACAGCTGCTCCAACAACAACCACAGCTGCACCAACAACAACCACAGTTGCTTCAACAACAACCACAGCTGCACCAACAACAACCACAGCTGCACCAACAACAACCACAGCTGCTCCAACAACAACCTCAGCTGCTCCAACAACAACCACAGCTGCTCCAACAACAACCACAGCTGCACCAACAACAACCACAGCTGCACCAACAACAACCACAGCTATACCAACAACAACAACAACCATAGCTGCTCCAACAACAACCACAGCTGCACCAACATCAACCACAGCTGCACCAACAACAACCACAGCTGCACCAACAACAACCACAGCTGCTCCAACAACAACCACAGCTGCACCAACAACAACCAAAATTGCACCAACAACAACCACAACTGCCCCAACGACAACCACAGCTGCCCCAACAACAACCACAGCTGCACCAACTACAACCACAGCTGCACCAACAACAACCACAGCTGCCCCAACAACAACCACAGCTGCTCCAACAACAACCACAGCTGCTTCAACAACAACCACAGCTGCCCCAGCTACAACCACAGCTGTACCAACAACAACAACCATAGCTGCACCAACAACAACCACAGCTGCACCAACATCAACAACAGCTGCACCAACAACAACCACAGCTGCACCAACAACAACCACAGCTGCACCAACAACAACCACAGCTGCTCCAACATCAACCACAACTGCACCAACAACCACAGCTGCTTCAACTACAACCACAACTGCCCCAGCTACAACCACAGCTGCACCAACAACAACCACAGCTGCCCCAGCTACAACCACAGCTGCTTCAACAACAACCACAGCTGCACCAACAACAACCACAGCTGCACCAACAACAACCACAGCTGCACCAACAAAAACCACAGCTGCACCAACAACAACCACAGCTGCAACAACAACAACCACAGCTGCTCCAACAACAACCACAGCTGCTCCAACAACAACCACAGCTGCACCAACAACAACCACAGCTGCACCAACAACAACAACAACCATAGCTGCACCAACATCAACCACAGCTGCACCAACATCAACCACAGCTGCACCAACAACAACCACAGCTGCTCCAACAACAACCACAGCTGCACCAACAACAACCAAAATTGCACCAACAACAACCACAACTGCCCCAACAACAACCACAGCTGCCCCAACAACAACCACAGCTGCACCAACCACAACCACAGCTCCACCAACAACAACCACAGCTGCCCCAACAACAACCACGGCTGCACCAACATCAACCACAGCTGCACCAACATCAACCACAGCTGCACCAACAACAACCACAGCTGCACCAACAACAACCACAGCTGCTCCAAAAACAACCACAGCTGCACCAACAACAACCACAGCTGCTCCAACAACAACCACAGCTGCTCCAACAACAACCACAGCTGCACCAACAACAACCACAGCTGCTTCAACAACAACCACAGCTGCACCAACAACAACCACAGCTGCTCCAACAACAACCACATTTACACCAACAACAACCACAGCTGCCCCAACAACAACCACAGCTGCACCAACAACAACCACAACTGCACCAACAACAACCACAGCTGCCCCAACAACAACCACAGCTGCGCCAACAACCACAGCCGCTCCAACATCAACCACAGCTGCGCCAACAACAACCACAGCTGCACCAACAACAACCACAGCTGCACCAACAACAACAACAGCTGCCCCAACAACAACCACAGCTGCTTCAACAACAACCACAGCTGCACCAACAACAACCACAGCTGCACCAACAACAACCACAGCTGCACCAACAACAACCACAGCTGCTTTAACAACAACCACAGCAGCACCAACAACAACAACCACAGCTGCACCAACAACAACCACAGCTGCTCCAACATCAACCACAACTGCACCAACAACCACAGCTGCACCAACAACAACCACAGCTGCTCCAACAACAACCACAGCTGCTCCAACAACAACCACAGCTGCACCAACAACAACTACAGCTGCCATAACAACAACCACAGCTGCTTCAACAACAACCACAGCTGCTTCAACAACAACCACAGCTGCCATGACAACAACCACAGCTGCTTCAACAACCACAGCTGCACCAACAACAACCACAGCTGCTTCAACAACAACCACAGCTGCCCCAGCTACAACCACAGCTGCTCCAACATCAACCACAACTGCACCAACAACCACAGCTGCTTCAACTACAACCACAGCTTTCCCAGCTACAACCACAGCTGCTCCAAGAACAACCACAGCTGCACCAACAACAACCACAGCTGCTCCAACAACAACCACAGCTGCTCCAACAACAACCACAGCTGCACCAACAACAACCACAGCTGCTTCAACAACAACCACAGCTGCACCAACAACAACCACAGCTGCACCAACAACCACAGCTGCCCAAGCTACAACCACAGCTGCTCCAACATCAACCACAACTGCACCAACAACCACAGCTGCGTTAACTACAACCACAGCTGCCCCAGCTACAACCACAGCTGCACCAACAACAACCACAGCTGCACCAACAACAACCACAGCTGCTCCAACAACAACCACAGCTGCTCCAACAACCACAGCTGCACCAACATCAACCACTGCTGCACCAACAACAACCACAGCTGTACCAACAACAACAACCATAGCTGCACCAACAACAACCACAGCTGAACCAACATCAACCACAGCGGCAGCAACAACAAACACAGCTGCACCAACAACAACCACAGCTGCTCCAACAACAACCACAGCTGCACCAACAAAAACCACAGCTGCACCAAAAACAACCACAGCTGCCCCAACAACAACCACAGCTGCCCCAACAGCAACTACAGATGCACCAACCACAACTGCACCAACAACAACCACAGCTGCCCCAACAACAACCACAGCTGCACCAACAACAACCACAACTGCACCAACAACAACCACAGCTGCACCAACAACAACCACAGCTGCTCCAACAACAACCACAGCTGCACCAACAACAACCACAGCTGCACCAACAACAACCACAGCTGCACCAACAACAACCACAGCTGCTCCAACAACAACCACAGTTGCTCCAACAACAACCACAGTTGCTCCAACAACAACCACAGCTGCACCAACAACAACCACAGCTGCACCAACAACAACCACAGCTGCTCCAACAACAACCACAGCTGCTCCAACAACAACCACAGCTGCACCAACAACAACCACAGCTGCTTCAACAACAACCACAGCTGCACCAACAACAACCACAGCTGCTTCAACAACAACCACAGCTGCCCCAACTACAACCACAGCCTCTCGAACATCAACCAGAACTGCACCAACAACCACAGCTGCTTCAACTACAACCACAGCTGCCCCAGCTACAACCACAGATGCACCAACAACAACCACAGCTGCACCAACAACACCCACAGCTGCTCCAACAACAACCATAGCTGCATCAACCACAACCACAGCTGCACCAACAACAACCACAGCTGCACCAACAACAACCACAGCTGCTCCAACATCAACCACAGCTGCACCAACAATAACCACAGCTGCACCAACAACAACCACAGCTGCTCCAACAACAACCACAGCTGCACCAACAACAACCACAGCTGCCCCAACAACAACCACAGCTGCACCAACAACAACCACAGCTGCATCAACAACAACCACAGCTGCCCCAACAACAACCACAGCTGCGCCAACAACCACAGCCGCTCCAACATCAACCACAGCTGCTTCATCAACAACCACAGCTGCACCAACAACAACCACAGCTGCACCAACAACAACAACCATAGCTTTACCAACAACAACAACAGCTGCACCAACATCGACCACAGCTGCACCAACAACAACCACAGCTGCACCAACAACAACAACAGCTTTCCCAACAACAACTACAGCTGCCCCAACAACAACCACAGCTGCTTCAACAACAACCACAGCTGCACCAATAACAACCATACCTGCATTAACAACTACCACAGCAGCACCAACAACAACCACAGCTGCACCAACAACAACCACAGCTGCTCCAACATCAACCACAACTGCACCAACAACCACAGCTGCTTCAACTACAACCACAGCTGCCCCAGCTACAACCACAGCTGCACCAACAACAACCACAGCTGCACCAACATTAACCACAGCTGCTCCAACAACAACCACAGCTGATACAACAACGACCACAGCTGCACCAACAACAACCACAGTTGCTTCAACAACAACCACAGCTGCACCAACAACAACCACAGCTGCCATAACAACAACCACTAAAGCACAGACAACAACCACAGCTGCACCAACAACAACCACAGCTGCACCAACATCAACCACAACTGCACCAACAACCACAGCTGATTCAACTACAACCACAGCCGCCCCAGCTACAACCACAGCTGCACCAACAACAACCACAGCTGCACCAACATTAACCACAGCTGCTCCAACAACAACCACAGCTGATACAACAACGACCACAGCTGCACCAACAACAACCACAGTTGCTTCAACAACAACCACAGCTGCACCAACAACAACCACAGCTGCCATAACAGCAACCACTAAAGCCCAGACAACAACCATAGCAGCACCAACAACAACCACAGCTGCGCCAACAACAAAAACAGCTGCCATAACAACAACCACTAAAGTGCCAACAACAACCACAGCTGCTCCAAGATCAACCACAGCTGCACCAATAACAACCACAGCTGCACCAACATCAACCACAGCTTCACCAACAACAACCACAGCTGCACCAACAACAACCACAGCTGCACCAACAACAACCACAGCTGCTTCAACAACAACCACAGCTGCTTCAACAACAACTACAGCTGCCCCAACAACAACCACAGCTGCTTCAACAACAACCACAGCTGCACCAATAACAACCATACCTGCATTAACAACTACCACAGCAGCACCAACAACAACCACAGCTGCACCAACAACAACCACAGCTGCTCCAACATCAACCACAACTGCACCAACAACCACAGCTGCTTCAACTACAACCACAGCTGCCCCAGCTACAACCACAGCTGCACCAACATCAACCACAGCTTCACCAACAACAACCACAGCTACACCAACAACAACCACAGCTGCTTCAACAACAACCACAGCTGCTTCAACAACAACTACAGCTGCCATAAACACCACGGCTGCTTCAACAACAACCACAGCTGCTCCAACATCAACCACAGCTGCACCAACAACAACCACAGCTGCACCATCAACAACCACAGCTGCTCCAACAACAACCACAGCTGCACCAATAACAACCACAGCTGCCCCAACAACAACCACAGCTGCCCCAACAACAACCACAGCTGCACCAACAACAACCACAGCTGCCCCAACAACAACCACAGCTGCCCCAACAACAACCACAGCTGCGCCAACAACCACAGCCGCTCCAACATCAACCACAGCCGCTTCACCAACAACCACAGCTGCACCAACAACAAAAGCTGCACAAACATCAACCACAGCTGCACCAACAACTACCACAGCTGCACCAACAACAAAAACAGCTGCCCCAACAACAACTACAGCTGCCCCAACAACAACCACAGCTGCTTCAACAACAACCACAGCTGCACCAACAACAACCACAGCTGCACCAACAACAACCACAGCAGCACCAACAACAACCACAGCTGCTCCAACATCAACCACAGCTGCACCAACAACCACAGCTGCTTCAACTACAACCACAGCTGCCCCAGCTACAACCACAGCTGCACCAACAACAACCACAGCTGCACCAACAGCAACCACAGCTGCTCCAACAACAACCACAGCTGCTCCAGCAACAACCACAGCTGCACCAACAACAATCACAGCTGCACCAACAACAACCACAGCTGCTTTAACAACAACCACAGCAGCACGAACAACAACCACAGCTGCACCAACAACAACCACAGCTGCACCAACAACAACCACAGCTGCACCAACAACAACTACAGCTGCTCCAACAACAACCACAGCTGCTCCAACAACAACCACAGCTGCACCAACAACAAACACAGCTGCACCAACAACAACCACAGCTGCACCAACAACAACCACAGCTGCACCAACAACAACCACAGCTGCTTTAACAACAACCACAGCAGCACCAACAACAACCACAGCTGCACCAACAACAACCACAGCTGCACCAACAACAACTACATCTGCTCCAACAACAACCACAGCTGCTCCAACAACAACCACAGCTGCACCAACAACAAACACAGCTGCACCAACAACAACCACAGCTGCCATAACAACAACCACTAAAGCCCAGACAACAACCACAGCAGCACCAACAACAACCACAGTTTCTTCAACAACAACCACAGCTGCCATAACAACAACCACTAAAGTACCAACAACAACCACAGCTGCTCCAACATCAACCACAGCTGCACGAACAACAACAACAGCTGCCCCAACAACAACTACAGCTGCCCCAACAACAACCACAGCTGCTTCAACAACAACCACAGCTGCACCAATAACAACCATACCTGCATTAACAACTACCACAGCAGCACAAACAACAACCACAGCTGCACCAACAACAACCACAGCTGCTCCAACATCAACCACAACTGCACCAACAACCACAGCTGCTTCAACTACAACCACAGCTGCCCCAGCTACAACCACAGCTGCACCAACAACAACCACAGCTGCACCAACAACAACCACAGCTGCTCCAACAAAAACCACAGCTGATACAACAACGACCACAGCTGCACCAACAACAACCACAGTTGCTTCAATAACAACCACAGCTGCACCACCAACAACCACAGCTGCCATAACAACAACCACTAAAGCCCAGACAACAACCATAGCAGCACCAACAACAACCACAGTTGCGCCAACAACAAAAACAGCTGCCATAACAACAACCACTAAAGTGCCAACAACAACCACAGCTGCTCCAACATCAACCACAGCTGCACCAATAACAACCACAGCTGCACCAACATCAACCACAGCTTCACCAACAACAACCACAGCTGCACCAACAACAACCACAGCTGCTTCAACAACAACCACAGCTGCTTCAACAACAACTACAGCTGCCATAACAACCACAGCTGCTTCAACAACAACCACAGCTGCTCCAACATCAACCACAGCTGCACCAACAACAACCACAGCTGCACCAACAACAACCACAGCTGCTCCTACAACAACCACAGCTGCACCAATAACAACCACAGCTGCCCCAACAACAACCACAGCTGCCCCAACAACAACCACAGCTGCACCAACAACAACCACAGCTGCCCCAACAACAACCACAGCTGCACCAACAACAACCACAGCAGCACCAACAACAACCACAGCTGCTCCAACATCAACCACAACTGCACCAACAACCACAGCTGCTTCAACTACAACCACAGCTGCCCCAGCTACAACCACAGCTGCACCAACAGCAACCACAGCTGCACCAACAGCAACCACAGCTGCTCCAACAACAACCACAGCTGCTCCAGCAACAACCACAGCTGCACCAACAACAATCACAGCTGCACCAACAACAACCACAGCTGCTTTAACAACAACCACAGCAGCACCAACAACAACCACAGCTGCACCAACAACAACCACAGCTGCACCAACAACAACTACAGCTGCTCCAACAACAACCACAGCTGCTCCAACAACAACCACAGCTGCACCAACAACAAACACAGCTGCACCAACAACAACCACAGCTGCACCAACAACAACCACAGCTGCTTTAACAACAACCACAGCAGCACCAACAACAACCACAGCTGCACCAACAACAACCACAGCTGCACCAACAACAACTACAGCTGCTCCAACAACAACCACAGCTGCTCCAACAACAACCACAGCTGCACCAACAACAAACACAGCTGCACCAACAACAACCACAGCTGCCATAACAACAACCACTAAAGCCCAGACAACAACCACAGCAGCACCAACAACAACCACAGTTTCTTCAACAACAACCACAGCTGCCATAACAACAACCACTAAAGTACCAACAACAACCACAGCTGCTCCAACATCAACCACAGCTGCACGAACAACAACAACAGCTGCCCCAACAACAACTACAGCTGCCCCAACAACAACCACAGCTGCTTCAACAACAACCACAGCTGCACCAATAACAACCATACCTGCATTAACAACTACCACAGCAGCACAAACAACAACCACAGCTGCACCAACAACAACCACAGCTGCTCCAACATCAACCACAACTGCACCAACAACCACAGCTGCTTCAACTACAACCACAGCTGCCCCAGCTACAACCACAGCTGCACCAACAACAACCACAGCTGCACCAACAACAACCACAGCTGCTCCAACAAAAACCACAGCTGATACAACAACGACCACAGCTGCACCAACAACAACCACAGTTGCTTCAACAACAACCACAGCTGCACCACCAACAACCACAGCTGCCATAACAACAACCACTAAAGCCCAGACAACAACCATAGCAGCACCAACAACAACCACAGTTGCGCCAACAACAAAAACAGCTGCCATAACAACAACCACTAAAGTGCCAACAACAACCACAGCTGCTCCAACATCAACCACAGCTGCACCAATAACAACCACAGCTGCACCAACATCAACCACAGCTTCACCAACAACAACCACAGCTGCACCAACAACAACCACAGCTGCTTCAACAACAACCACAGCTGCTTCAACAACAACTACAGCTGCCATAACCAGGGGCGGCGTTAGGCCCGGCTACTTGGGCTGAAGCCCCGGATCTTTCATGATAAGCCCCGGATCTAAATCGCGGAAGTAACATGCAGTACCAAAGTCACACAGAGAGGGCGCAGCTGGCAGTAGTTTGTAAAGTCCCATTTAGTCGTCACACACACAGGTGTGTGGTGAAATTTATTCTCCGATTTTGACCCATCCCCTGAGTTGCAGACACGCCGCGCTCGGGAACTATTTGGTGGTTTAACCCCCCAATCCAACCCCAATCCAATGCTGAGTGTCAAGCAGGGAGGCATTGGGTCCCATTTTTCTCAAAATCTTTGGTATGACCCGACCAGGAGTCGAACCCCTGATCTCCCGATCTCAGGGCAGACACTCTACCACTAGGCTACTTCGTCAGTATACAGTTTACCTGAGACTGAAGAGAAGCCCTTCAGCAGCTGGCTTCTGCAGTCTCTGTCTGAAACGCATGAGTGAAGATGGATATAAGGACGTTTTTTTAGACCAAAAGTACAACGACAGAACCCCAGCTCTGATGAGACTGGTGTTGACTCAGGTTTGTGAGTCTTATTTGAAAATATTTGTTGTGCTGCTGGTTTGCCTAAAGTTAGCTTACTATCAGGTAAAGTTGTTGGAGAAAGAAAGGGAATATTCACTATCATCTCACACTAAACACTAACAGGAACAATACTCTGCCCTGAATATGCTGAATATGTAGCTTCAGATTAAACATTATGTGGTACAAGATATATATATATATATATGATGTTGACTAGTGCGTGTCACGTGTGTGCGCGCATGCGTGTGTGTGCGCGTGCGCGCGCGTGTGTGTGCGCGCGCGTGTGTGTTAAGCCCCGGATCTTCTTCAGTCCTAAATCCGCCCCTGGCCATAACAACCACAGCTGCTTCAACAACAACCACAGCTGCTCCAACATCAACCACAGCTGCACCAACAACAACCACAGCTGCACCAACAACAACCACAGCTGCTCCTACAACAACCACAGCTGCACCAATAACAACCACAGCTGCCCCAACAACAACCACAGCTGCCCCAACAACAACCACAGCTGCACCAACAACAACCACAGCTGCCCCAACAACAACCACAGCTGCCCCAACAACAACCAAAGCTGCGCCAACAACCACAGCCGCTCCAACATCAACCACAGCCGCTTCACCAAAAACCACAGCTGCACCAACAACAACAAAAGCTGCACCAACATCAACCACAGCTGCACCAACAACAACCACAGCTGCACCAACAACAAAAACAGCTGCCCCAACAACAACTACAGCTGCCCCAACAACAACTACTGCTGCCCCAACAACAACCACAGCTGCTTCAACAACAACCACAGCTGCACCAACAACAACCACAGCTGCACCAACAACAACCACAGCTGCTTTAACAACAACCACAGCAGCACCAACAACAACCACAGCTGCTCCAACATCATCCACAACTGCACCAACAACCACAGCTGCTTCAACTACAACCACAGCTGCCACAGCTACAACCACAGCTGCACCAACAACAACCACAGCTGCACCAACAGCAACCACAGCTGCTCCAACAACAACCACAGCTGCTCCAGCAACAACCACAGCTGCACCAACAACAACCACAGCTGCACCAACAACAACCACAGCTGCTTTAACAACAACCACAGCAGCACCAACAACAACCACAGCAGCACCAACAACAACCACAGCTGCACCAACAACAACCCCAGCTGCACCAACAACAACCCCAGCTGCACCAACAACAACCACAGCTGCTCCAACAACAACCACAGCTGCACCAACAACAACCACAGCTGCACCAACAACAACCACATCTGCCATAACAACAACCACTAAAGCCCAGACAACAACCACAGCTGCTCCAACATCAACCACAGCTGCACCAATATCAACCACAGCTGCACCATCAACCACAGCTTCACCAAGAACAACCACAGCTGCACCAACAACAACCACAGCTGCTTCAACAACAACCACAGCTGCACCAACATCAACCACAGCTGCACCAACAACAACCACAGCTTTTCCAACAACAACTACAGCTGCCATAACAACAACCACAGCTGCTTCAACAACAACCACAGCTGCTTCAACAACAACCAAAGCTGCACCAACAACAACCACAGCGGCACCAACAACAACCACAGCTGCTTCAACAACAACCACAGCTGCCCCAGCTACAACCACAGCTGCTCCAACATCAACTACAACTGCACCAACAACCACAGCTGCTTCAATTACAACCACAGCTGCCCCAGCTACAACCACAGCTGCACCAACAACAACCACAACTGCACCAACAACAACCACAGCTGCTCCAACATCAACCACAGCTGCACCAACAACAACCACAGCTGCACCAACAACAACCACAGCTGCTCCAACAACAACCACAGCTGCACCAACAACAACCACAGCTGCCCCAACAACAACCACAGCTGCACCAACAACAACCACAGCTGCACCAACAACAACCACAGCTACCCCAACAACAACCACAGCCGCTCCAACATCAACCACAGCCGCTCCAACATCAACCACAGCTGCTTCAACAACAACCACAGCTGCACCAACAACAACCACAGCTGCACCAACAACAACAACCACAGCTGCACCAACAACAACCACAGCTGCACGAACAACAACAACAGCTCCCCCAACAACAACTACAGCTGCCCCAACAACAACCACAGCTGCTTTAACAACTACCACAGCAGCACCAACAACAACCACAGCTGCTTTAACAACTACCACAGCAGCACCAACAACAACCACAGCTGCACCAACAACAATCACAGCTGCTCCAACATCAACCACAACTGCACCAACAACCACAGCTGCTTCAACTACAACCACAGCTGCCCCAGCTACAACCACAGCTGCACCAACAACAACCACAGCTGCACCAACAACAACCACAGCTGCTCCAACAACAACCACAGCTGCACCAACAACAACCACAGTTGCTTCAACAACAACCACAGTTGCACCAACAACAACCACAGCTGCACCAACAACAACCACAGCTGCCATAACAACAACCACTAAAGCCCAGACAACAACCACAGCAGCGCCAACAACAACCACATTTGCGCCAACAACAACCACAGCTGCCATAACAACAACCACTAAAGTACCAGCAACAACCACAGCTGCTCCAACATCAACCACAGCTGCACCAATAACAGCCACGGCTGCACCAACATCAACCACAGCTTCACCAACAACAACCACAGCTGCACCAACAACAACCACAGCTGCTTCAACTACAACCACAGCTGCCCCAGCTACAACCACAGCTGCACCAACAACAACCACAGCTGCACCAACAACAACCACAGCTGCACCAACAACAACCACAGCTGCTCCAACAACAACCACAGCTGCTCCAACAACAACCACAGCTGCACCAACAACAACCACAGCTGCACCAACAACAACCACAGCTGCCATAACAACAACCACTAAAGCCCAGACAACAACCACAGCAGCACCAACAACAACCACAGTTTCTTCAACAACAACCACAGCTGCCATAACAACAACCACTAAAGTACCAACAACAACCACAGCTGCTCCAACATCAACCACAGCTGCACGAACAACAACAACAGCTGCCCCAACAACAACTACAGCTGCCCCAACAACAACCACAGCTGCTTCAACAACAACCACAGCTGCACCAATAACAACCATACCTGCATTAACAACTACCACAGCAGCACCAACAACAACCACAGCTGCTCCAACATCAACCACAACTGCACCAACAACCACAGCTGCTTCAACTACAACCACAGCTGCCCCAGCTACAACCACAGCTGCACCAACAACAACCACAGCTGCACCAACAACCACAGCTGATACAACAACAAACACAGCTGCACCAACAACAACCACTGTTGCTTCAACAACAACCACAGCTGCACCAACAACAACCACAGCTGCCATAACAACAACCACTAAAGCCCAGACAACAACCATAGCAGCACCAACAACAACCACAGTTGCGCCAACAACAAAAACAGCTGCCATAACAACAACCACTAAAGTGCCAACAACAACCACAGCTGCTCCAACATCAACCACAGCTGCACCAATAACAACCACAGCTGCACCAACATCAACCACAGCTTCACCAACAACAACCACAGCTGCACCAACAACAACCACAGCTGCTTCAACAACAACCACAGCTGCTTCAACAACAACTACAGCTGCCATAACAACCACAGCTGCTTCAACAACAACCACAGCTGCACCAACAACAACCACAGCTGCCCCAACAACAACCACAGCTGCTCCAAAAACAACCACAGCTGCACCAACAACAACCACAGCTGCTCCAACAACAACCACAGCTGCACCAACAACAACCACAGCTGCACCAACAACAACCACAGCTGCACCAACAACAACAACAGCTGCACCAACATCAACCACAGCTGTACCAACAACAAAAACAGCTGCCCCAACAACAACTACAGCTGCCCCAACAACAACCACAGCTGCTTCAACAACAACCACAGCTGCACCAACAACAACCGCAGCTGCCCCAACAACAACCACAGCTGCTTCAACAACAACCACAGCTGCACCAACAACAACCACAGCTGCCCCAACAACAACCACAGCTGCTTTAACAACTACCACAGCAGCACCAACAACAACCACAGCTGCTCCAACAACAACCACAGCTGCTCCAACATCAACCACAACTGCACCAACAACCACAGCTGCTTCAACTACAACCACAGCTGCCCCAGCTACAACCACAGCTGCACCAACAACAACCACAG